ACATATAGGGTGTCCCATTAGTGCGTAATTACTCGATATTTAAATTTGTGTTATAGACAAACAAGTTTTAGATAAAAGTTATATGGATTTAAAACAAAAAGACATAGTTTAAAAATATTTTTGCTTTTATCAGGCAAATAAAAATGTATATTTTAATAAATTATGTTAAATTAGAAATTAATTACGTGATATATTTTAAAAATATTCTAGGATTGAATATAGTATTTCCAGACCATTCTAAAACTGAAATAAATTATAAGGTTGTTTTATTTAAAAAATATATACAGGGTGGGCCACCGTTAAAGCCTCTGTACAGCCAAAACTATTTTTTTGACAGCGAGATGTATATCAGAAAAGGCAAAAATTTAAAAATAATTTTAATTATACAGGGTTTTCCAAGAAAGTGATATATATCAAAGTTAAGTTTTTTAAATTGGATATTTTATATTATAACAATACCAAATAAGTATGAGATTATACCGGGTATTTCCCTCGCTATAACCAGTTTTAAATAAAAATAGTATTGATTTCAATGACTTGTATACTGCAAAAGTAAAAGGTTTTATTAGTCAAAATATTATGCGGATTCACTACTTTTTTTAATTTAAAACAGATCTGTGCTTTGGCCAAAGTATCTATCCATAACTTAAGATGGATCAAAAGTCACACCACATTGAAAGGTAATCGTCTTGTTGATTCACTAGCCAAGAAGGCAGCCAACCAAATACTTTTTGGATCTGGTGCTTATATTGGACTGACAACATCGATAGTGACAAACCTAATTAAAGAACATTCCCTTGTGAAATTCAAGGAGAGATGGGATGAAACAAGAAGCTGCAGTTATCCTGACAACACTACAGCGAACAAATACTTGACTATGACTAGACAAAATCTGCGCCTCACTAAACATTGCCAAGTACGGAAGCATCTCCATATGATGGGGCTGTCATAATCCGCACTCTGCAGGGGGTGCGAACAAGAAGATGAGACAATCGAGCATATCATCTACGATTGCCGGATGCTCTCATTTATTAGAAAATTTATGTCCGGCGAGGGTCAGCTAACACCGGCCGATATAAAAGAAGCACCTCTTGGCGACGTTGTCAACTACATTAATACTGTAGGCTGGCTCACGAGTTAGAAAATGCCTAAAATTCATAATTTTGGGAGATTTTTAAATTTAAATGACACAAAAGATCATTTAGAAAATACACTATAATTTTAAAAAAGATTTTCATATGCCGCCAATTTACGTAGGCAGTTGGTGGCATAGGAAAGCTTTTTTTATTACTAATTTTAGGAAAACAGTTGTTCTTTATAATAAGTCGAGCATGATCTAAAACCTAAAATACAACTATCAAATTTTATCAGTTGTATAAAGAATAAAGGTACTTTACTCTTGAGTAAAACTCATATTTGTTGTAGGGGTATCGTAAAAACGATATGAATTTTTAGTGAATAACCTAAAAAGGACACGGATTTTAACGTAAATTTAACTATTGTCTTATTAAACTAAAGTCTATCAATCTTTTACACTTATAAATTTAGATTTTAAAGCTAACTTACTTTCTTTTAATCCACACATCAAATAAAACTCATTCACGGTATTCACACGACACAAACAAACTATAAAATGGCCGATGCCGCCGATCCGATGGCACCTGTGAGGGCAGGAAATATCCGCGCCTGCGCTCGCGTTCATTGCCAATATTATTTATCTAGTAGATATCTGTGAGATATTGAATACAACTTACTAATTTTAAATTTCTATAAACTATACCTACATACTTTCTTAGTTATCACATGGCGTAATATTTAAATAATTTAATAATTATTAAATCAATTTGTATATTGTATGTACATATTATATCCATAAATTACATCCAGTGAATATCCACCATGGTTTGCGTTCGCGCCTAGACTTTGATATATTTAGTGGATATCCATGGGATATTGAATACATTAAAAAAAAATATTTGAAATATCTAAATGGTACTATTAGCCACAATGGCGTAATTTTTTAATAATTTCTGACGGAATTTCTATAATTTCTGGACATTTGCATGTTTATAAATTACATCTCATGGATATAAAATAGATATCCACCATGGACTGGACATTCAGTGGATATTGGGATGTTCAGTAGATATCCAAAGGATTTGGTGTGCGGTCTGGGCCTGTATTTTTTTTTTCCCAAGCAAAACCCTAAAATCCAGTATAACTAAAAATATTTTTAGAGTACGCTTTTTTCAAATACATATCTTTTACTTGAAACTTGTTTGCGCGTCTATAACACAAATTAAAATTTCTTTTTTTTATTATTATTATCAGATTTCGAAAAAAAATATTATTTTGATTGTCCCTGGTAGCTGATAACAATCGTTAAGGGTCATAAGGGGGCGTCCATTAATTACGTGAGGTGTTCAAGGGGGGGAGGGGATAAAACTAAATCTTTCTAAATCTCACTTGGGGGAGAGGGGGGGTTTTCGTAAATCTCACGTAATTTTTTTTCTAGTAGAAAACGGTGTAAAATTGCGTGAAAGTAAAGTTAAATTATAGTAAAAGTATTTCTAGAATAAAATATGGAAAAATCTTATAAATATGTTTATTTATTTTTTATTAATTTCCATTTAAGTATTTATCATTTAATTTTATTAATGTGATTTTAAATAATTGCAACACTCTCAAACACTAGTCTTTGCTAGTCTTAAATAAAAGTAATGGAACATATTGTTTTTGTTTTTTTTAATAATCCAACACATTTACACCCAAAACACGAATTTTGAAAAATCTCACGTGAGATTAGGGAAGGGGGGGGGGGGAGGGAGTTAAGGCAAATCTTACCAAATCTCGCCAAAGGGGGGGAGGGGGAGTCAAAAAATCCTCAAAAATACCTCACGTAATTAATGGACGCCCCCTAAGATCAATAACTAAAACAACCTCAATTATATAAACAAATAAAAGCGTAATGTAAACAGTCTTTGGGTTTTTATATAAACATGTTTGAATAACACTTAGATTTAAAAGATAAATATTGGTAAAAATATTAAATAACATAAGTAGAAATAATATTCGGAAAATATCAGTCTTTATCTAAAAATAATAATAATAATAATGCACTTCACAGATAATTCTGAGATTTACAGATGAATTCAGGTATTCTCTGGTATAGTACGAGCAAGAGATATAGTGTGATTTTAAAGCTTTAAAGCCAGACGGCAACATACAAACAAAAACTAAGAACACTGATACATTAAATATAGTAGAGGAGCATTCAAGAGAATGAGTATTCTTATTTTATTTTTACTTCCCTCGATAAAAGGAAAGTATTGAAAATTTAGATTTTCCCGTTTTCGGGTCCCTAAATTACAAAAAACATGTGTTCCCCATTTCGTCGGTCTGTCTGCCGTCCGCCGTCTGTCTGTTGGCGCGAGAGCTCAAAAAGGGCTTAAGAGAGAAATTTCAAATTTTGTATGCAGGTAAGGCTTCCTCTTGGCTCAAAACCAGTTATACTTCCGGTCAGATATATACAGGGTGAGCAATTAAAAAAACATTTATTTTTAAAAGTCAGCAGATTTCGACTAAAATTGGTTTCTGATAAAATTGTTATCATGTTGATATCATGGAAAAATGTCAGATGACATGTTTGCAGAGACGCCACTGGTACAGCAGTAAAATAATTTTTTTAACTAAAATATGTGGTTTTATATCCTATTAACACATGCCAAAATTGAAAATTATATCTAAACTATTTTCAGAGGTACTAAAAAATATTTCTTTAAAAAACAAATTTTCAACTTCCTGTAGCAAAAAATTGAAGCCGTTGCGGACATATATGTTTATATAAACTTTTCTTCATAAAATGACCTGAGGAATCATATCCTACAATATTAGCATACCATTAAAAAACACCCTGTATAAATTGTAAAAACAGGGAAACCATTTTGAATTTTTAAAAAGTAATTCATGATCTGTTATCTTTGATCAGATAACAATTTTATCAGAAACCAATTTTAGTTGAAATCTGCCGACTTTTAAAAATAAATGTTTTTTAATTGCTCACCCTGTATACATCAAACTGGAAGTATAACCGATTTTGAGCCAAGCGAAAGTCTTACCTGCATACAAAATTTGAATTTTTCTAGTAAGCCGTTTTTGAGCTACCGTGCCAACAGACAGACGGCGGACAGACCGACGGAATGGGGAAAATATGTTTCTCGTAATCTAGGGACCCGAAAACGTGAAAATCTAAATTTTCACGATTAAAATACTTCCCTTTCATCGAGGAAAGTAAAAATAAAATAAGTATACTCAATCTCTTGAATGCTCCTCTACTAATTTAAAGGTGACGTATCAGTCTCCTTAGTTTTTTTTGTACGTTGCCGGCTGGCTTTAAAGGGTTAAAGTCACACTATATCTCTTGCTCGTACTATACATCAGCATGCCTGTTATTATCAGGTAGAACGAAAGGGAAAGCTACCAGTGGTGTAAGTTATCCGTAACTCCTCTACGAACGTAGGCGATCTCCTACGAATCCAGGCGAACCTGCACGAACGTAAGCGAGCACCTACGAATCCAGTCGAGCCTCTACGAACGTAAGAGTCTCTCCAAATTCAGGTGAGCCTCCACGAACGTAGGTGAGCCTCCGTGAACGAAGGCGAGTTTCCACCTTACTCCAATGAACATTAACGAGATTGTGTAATTTTGGATACATAGAGCAGGTAAAGGTTGGAACAAATTCGATAAAATGTATGCTCGGAAAGGTCGTTTTGTTTTTTAATTGCGCATATTATTATACCTATATTTTTTTTTATGATTTTTCAAACTATTGACAATTTTTGACAGTACCATTTAAAATTGTACATTTTTTGCTTATACACTAAATTTTGTTACCTGTTACATAAACAATAATTTAGGGGAGGATGGAAATAAAATTCAACAAAGTTTAATTTTATTTTTGGCTTTGTATGATGATTAATTCAAGCGATTTTTAAACTTACCTGATAACTGTTTGAATAAACATCCCTAGCTTGAAATCTTGACCTTAGTGGGGGATCTAATGGATTTCCTCTATATCTACAATTCAAATTCTGTATAAAATAACGAAATTTATACTTTTTGACTGTTTACTTACTTAGGAACAGGCAAGCCTAATGCGATAACCCTAAAATTATCATCAACCCTCACTAATTTCCATTTTTGTAATTCTTCTTCACCATATTCCTAAAAAAAAGATATTCCATAAGTCAAATAATTTATCCTTGCACAATGTGCCCTCTATAAGACTATTTAAATTTTTAAACTATAGGGAATCATTATTTTTTCGTCAGTGTCTGTATACTCGTAACTCATGAACGGATAGCAGATAATGAATTAATTAGATTTTGGGCATAGTAGGAGCATTTAGAGGTACTTTATAGGGGGTCATTTTTCTACTTTATGGAATATATCTGTTATTTACGCTTTGAGAGGAAAATTCGTCAAATAAAAGTTGTTTGTGATGTCATTCTCTAGAATTTTTGTCTCATACATTATTTTCCTAAAATGGACCGTATTAGAGGTATTTGAGAAAAATTGCGAAATTCAAATTTTTGAAGATAATTCAAAAACGGATAAAGAGTGAAAAACAACAAATTTTAAAATTAAGCTAATAATTGAGCTATAAAATTTTGAACATACTCCGAGCCTATGGGGTACTTTATAGGGGCTCAGTTTTTCTACTTTATAGAATATAACTGTTATTTACGCTTGGAGAAAAAAATTCGTCAAATAAAAGTGGTTCATTTTCTAGATTTTTTGTTTTATACATGGACTATGTTTATCTAAAAGGAGACAAGGGACAAATAAGTTAGAGGCACCAAGCGACAGAGGAAGGTTTAGTTTACCTTGTATAAAAAGATTCAATTACTAGCTCTACTCTAGTGCCATCATTTGGCCAAATGAGACATTAAAAAACAAATTCCTAATTTCAATAAAGGGAACCATCCACTAAAAATATCTTCAAACTCATGTTACTAGCTTAATTAAACTTATACAAATGTGCCTGTTATAACATATTATCTATTTGACAATACCTAGTTCAAAACACTCATTAATTTAATAAAGCATTATCATCTTTAACTTCTAATATCTCAAAACTTCAACTTGGCGCTTCGTCCTTTTTAAATAAACATAGTCCACATGATTTTCCTAAAATGGTCCTTATTCAAGAAATGTGACAAATAGTGCAAAATTCAAATTTTTAAGAAAATTGTTTAAATTAATTTTTTTTCAATGCTTGATTCTCCTCCTATTCGAGATATTTAAGGAAAAAGTGCAAAATTCGAATTTTCAATTTAACTCAAAAACGGATAGAGAAAAACACCAAATTTTTAACTTAAGGTTCATTCTCTATAAAATGGACCGTAACTGAAACATTTGAGAATTTGTGTAAAATTTTAAATTTTCGGTATTTGTTTGTAATGTATATATATAAAAAAAAAAAAAAATGTGTCGACTAAGATGTGTGTGGAAAATGTATGTATTTACAAGGATGATAAAATAGGTTGTACAGAATAACTAAAAAAAGTCTATAACTAGAGAGGAAAGTCATGTGTTGGACACATCAGATTATTTCACCTGGATAAAAAAAAATCACTAACTTTTAATAATTTATCATATCTAGATGCTGGAATCAATAATCTCCCATCTTCTAAATGCATTTCTCGATTTTCCAAGAGATTATTTAATACTGGCAAAACATTTCTTTCTGCTTTTTCAATGCCATCTAAAATTAGAATTCTTCCTTCTTTTGCAGCTTTTACGGCGCTCTAAAAGATATTAATTGTTTTAAAACAACTAACAAGAATTTGTTAGTTTTAAATAAATATACCTGATCAAAATATTTGGCTGTTCCTTTGATGATTTCTCGTCTCTGCTTTAAATCAGATTCAGTTGTATCTCTGCTTAGAGCAACATATTCATGTTCTCTATTTGTTAATTCCGAGTACTGCAAAGCTAAATGTCTTTTTCTTGGACCTGGAGGTCCTAATAGAAATATATCTTGATTTAAAAGATCTTTTTGCATCATCCATTTTAAATGGTGCAAGCTGCTTTGTGACAAATTGTTACGATCTAGCAAAATAGAGAATTATTCGTTATTCTAATCTGTTTACTGTACTAATATGGTACTAATTCTTAAATAAAACACATATGTGTTATTAAAATTTTAATATAAAAATTATGAAAGTTACAATCAGATATGGAACGAGGAAAGTGGGAAATTAAATTTGGCTCGAAGGACCAACTTTTCTCTCATATGAAGAGTACTTACAATATTTTCTAGGGACATATTCAGGATGTTCAACCTTGTTCACTTCTTTCACAATGTTTCCGAACGCTACTGTTTCTTTAGAATAATATTTTGTAAATACATTATGTGTTAAATTCCAAGCATTTTTATTCAAGACTTCTTTTAGCACCTTATTTCCGGATGACAAATAAGAATACATATTTAAAATCTAAATTATTCTACATACGACTAGATTATTTTTGAATTAATATCGGAAGAAAACCTTGCACATGAAGTCCAAAGGTTGTTTTCTTATATTCGTTCGTTTTGTGAATGTCAAAATTAATGTAGCCCTTAAAAAGAGAGAATAGATGTAGTTCTGAATGAACAGAATAAAGAAATTTGATTCAATTAGTAGTTCGCTGTGGTTCGAATAGAAAAAAGAACGACCGTATATATCTTCTGTTCTTTTACTATCTTACCTATACTATTGAAAGTAATAGGTCAACACAACTAAACGCTAAATTTTTAATAGCAGAAGTCACAAAATTGTAGAGTAGAAGAAGAAAAGCTAACGACAGTGTTTATTTACATTGTTTTGGGCGGGCTTTTGTATGTGATTTTTTAACTGTTTTTAGATAAATATATTAAATCACAATATTGAATTCAACAAGATTAAAACATTTCGTATAAAAAACTTACCTTTAAACAAAAATCTTGTACGAAGTGCAAGAACACACTCGCATCGAAGCAAGAGGTTGTATTCAATTTTTAGAATAGAAATCTATCCTTTTTCCATGTCGACCTTCTCATAATTGCCCATTTTATGTTAAATAAGTACTTAACGGTTACCCTTTTTTGGAAAATGAAATAAAATTAACGACAGCCCGTTGATTTAAAAGTACAACCTTCATACAGCAGTATAGATACAATTTGCTGGAACCATTTTCTCAAATTTTTAGTAATAAGCACTATCGCTACTATCCAGTTATCACAGGTAAATCAAAAAATAAATTAGAAATACCAGAAAATTTATTTAGAATTCGTTTAAAAAAAATAGATTTTAATCCACCTCATTCATTTAATTAATGGCCTTTTTCTATTCAAAATTTCGGATACCCTTAAAGGCTTATTTTGAAGCGCTTCCTTTGTAACATTTATCCTATGGTAATAGTAAAAAAGAAGAATTATTAGCTGTCGGGTTGTATAATCGAGATCAAGCATAAATTTGACATTTCACACTTAAATAAAATGAGGAAGCGATAAATGTCCGACGGTGATCTCTATCAGGCGCATGTGCAATTCATTTTACAGGGTTGTCTATTTTTCAAGCTTGTAAGAATCAGGCGGGAATCAAGTCATATTTGAACGTTTTACTTATTATAGGTTTCGTTAGAATTATTAAAAAGAGACAGCAAATACAATAATTTATGTTAATATAAAATAGACATACTGTAACCCCCACCACATGTCCACTTAAGTTTTTCATGAACTACATTCTAAATGGCACCAATCCTTTTGCTAAGTACACCCCTATCTTTGTTACTTATTCAAAGGAATAAGTAATATCCACTGCATCAGTTTTTTGTCTTTTGTTTGACATATCGCACATTATTAATTTTAGTTAATTCCAAAAGCCAATTTTCGAATTCTAAAAACAAAATATATGAATTAACAAAAGAAAATAAGATAAAAAAAACAATATACACACCTTCTATATTGCCGAAGTTCAAAGTTTTTTCCTCAAAATCTATTTTGTGTGCCTGTGTTAAATGCTGTCTTAACTGCATAATATTTATAAATGATGCATGGCATCCTTCTAAACATTTATTTGAATGTATATTATATTCATAACAAATAATGTTAGTCTCTGTTCGGTTATGAACATTTTTCAAGTGCCTATTCAAATTGCTCTGAAGCGTAAAAAGTTTATTACAATATTTGCAGATAACACTCATTTTAATAAAAATCACCAACAAGAACAAACACGGTATAAATGGCTCTAAATGGGCACAAATGTAAACGAAAAAATAGTTTTACTTCTCTCTATAAACGAACACGAGAAAACATTCTCTTTTCTTTGACAGAATACAGCACTGTGATACATGACTTATGAGGCAAAGAGATCCGGCATCATTGCAAGATACGCATGCGCACGGTAGGGATCACCGTCGGACTATTATCGCCTCCTATAAAATGGCCAGAGACATGTTGTCTCTATGTTTTATGTAAATGGATCTGAAATCTAAGGCAGAAAAAATTTAGGTTATTTTTTGCAGATACAAGATACAGTATATGATTTTTACTGAATCGGTTTTTGAAGGAAATTAATTATAAATGTAACAAAATAGGTAATTTTGAATTTTACAATAAGCTGATTTTGCGTGCAAGCCACTTCCTTCTTAATTGTCAAGCTATCCATTCAAACAAAAAAATATTTACTCAGGTATAACGCGGTTTTTGAAACATTTCAATATGACCATCCATTCAGCTCATAGCGTTCGCAAAATGATAACTGCAAAAATGAGGATGTTACCTTCAATGACAAGACATACCTTTCTTCATGATGCTCTAGATAAATAGACTAGTACTCTCGTGGTTTTTTTGTCACAAAAATTATCCTCTAGATGAAAAATAGACAAGAATTTTTCATTTCAGACTAGCCATTTAAATAGCGTTCTCAATTTTTTTTTCAAATAAACGCCAGATAGTCCATTAGCAATTGAAGATCATCTGGACTTTGAATTGGACCAACACACCAATTTTTCACAGAGCTACGTTCTGGGCCATAGTTGCCATTGGATTTTTTTAAGTTGAGAAACAAAGGGACAACATTAACTATGATCAAAAGTCTGAACATATGTTAATTTTTTAAATAGAATATGTAAGCAATGTAGATATGATATATCAAAGATTGTGGGTTCAATATTATAGTAGTAAGCGGTTGTTTTCAATTTTTCTTAGGTTCAGTCAGAAATTTCTTCAAATAATTCTTAGTTTGTATCTCAACATTTTTACCAGAATATGCATGACTGGCCCAAAAACTGATTTGAGGTGCTTCTGTATTAATCGAGATGAGGAAATGTTGATTACTCAAATAGTAATGGTAAATAAAATAAACAAATTGAAATTATTGTAATATTTTTTTTATTATAAAAAAAATTGACACAAAAACAAACAAAATACATTTCTATTCATCCCTGCTTCCATGCACAATACAATAATCATTTAACAATTTTATATACATTCACTAATTAATATATAGCAGCAACTAATTTTTTATATACAATATAGCAAAAATCTCTTGTACAGGAATGATTTCCTTAAATTTAAATTTTGAGGTCATTTCTTTAAAAATTACAGTAAAAACTGTGAAATGATAACTTTAAATGCAAATTTGGATTTAAAATCATGTTCTCTTGTAAAGTGGAAACTAAATTTAACATTTTTGTATTTAAAGTCATAATTGTAATTAAAAATGTAAACGCTACATGAATTAAGTTTAAAGTCGAATTTACAGCAATAAATTAAAAAATTTGTTTAAATTATAATTTCGTATTTAAAGTCAATGTATAAATGGAATTCCTAAGTTTAAAGTCCAAATTGTGCGTTTAATTTTCATATTTACATAAATACTTCGGTACGGTGGAAATTTTAAATGAAAAATGTTTATTTTCGTGGAAAAGTTGAATTCAAAGTCAAATTACTTTTTTCTTATTTACAAGTCGCCTTTATTATATCTCATCAGCCTAAAAATTTCGAATTAAAAAAGTAGATTAAAGTCAAATTTCCAAAGTTGTAATCTCATATAAAGTCTAAACTAAAGTTAACATTTTTGTATTTAAAGTCATAGTTTTAATGGAAAATATAATGTTACCCAAATTATTGAAATTTACAGCAATAAATTATAAAATTACAGTTTAAAATTATAAATTAAATCAAAAATGTTTACTTTCGTTGAAAATTTGAATTTAAAGTTGAATTTACAATATCTCATCCACCTGAAAATTTAAAGCCCAATTTAAAAATTATAGTCAGTTTCATAATTTTTTTTTTGAAAAGTTTTGACTTTATAAAAGAAATCATAATTTTAAATCGGTAGTTATAATTTAAAGTCACTGTTTCACGTTTAAAGTCAATATAATATCAAACTACCAGTTGAAAATTAGCTATTTAGCGCGAAAATTCAACAGAATTTAAAAAAATCATCAGTATAAGTTCCATGTACAAATTCATAGAATTACAGACGGTCCAGCAATTTTAATTCTTAATTACGTTATTAACAAAAAAAAAAAAAAATATTTAACATAGCGGATCGTCCTTTACAAGATGACTTGCAAATAAATTTGAAATGTACACGTTAAAAGTGATTTTATTTTTACCTTCATTGGTCCAAAGTTTATTCCCAATTGATCTAATTTTCTTTCTATTCTTTTCTTTCTTCTTCCTCCTCTTCATCCCAATCGTCCATTAGTTTATTGACATTATCTACAGCTGTATTTACGATTGGTTCTTTATTATTTTCATCGGCATCCAAAACCTCTGAGTCTCTATCGACATTTTTATCACTTTGTTGAGAGTCCGTATCATCTTCCCAATCATCCAAAATCGTCCTATTTATATCGGTAGCATTTTTCGGGGGTATACTTTGAGAAGGAGTTTCTTGTAACGAACTGACTTCCACGTTTTTTTCTGATTCCTCTCCTTGCGGTTCTTCTTGAAGTAACTGATTGTCTAGAAACAAAAAAAAAGAACAATAGAAAATATAGGAAATTGATCAACAGTAAATTATATTTTTGGTACAACAGTATAAATTAAAGGATAAACAATAAATTTTATTTTTGGGAAATCAAAAATTATAGAAAAGGATCAACAATAATTTTTTGGGAAAACATTACAGAAAAGGATCAATAATAAATTGTGTTTTTTTGGGACAATGTAAAATAAGGGAAAGGGATTAACAATAAATTGTTTTTGGGAAAACAATACAAATGAAAGAAAATGATCAACAATAATTTTGGGGAAACTATGGAAATAAAGGGATAAACAAATAATTGTGCTTATTGGAAAACAATAAATTGTTTTTTGAAAAAAATATTAAAAAAGGACAATTGTGTTTTTGGGAAAACTATGGAAAATATAAGGAATCAACAATTGTTATTTTTTAAATACTATGGTTCAGAAAAAAGTAATGGAACAACAAAAATTGTGTTTTTGGGAAATACTATATAAAATAAAAGCAAGGTATACTATGGAACATATAAGAAATAGATTTAACGAAATGGGTTTTTTGGGAAGACCATGGAAAATATAAGAGATAAAAATGCTTTTTATGGGAAGACCAAACAAAAGGATCAACAATGAATTGTGTTTTTGAGAAAACAATAATTTAAACAGATCAATAAAACGTCTTACCTGCATCATCGGTCACTTGAGATTCATCAACGCCGTTATCAGTCTCATTATTTTCCGCAAGTTCTTCGGGATCTTCTTTTGCATCACCTTCCTCTTCCACAACTTTTCCATCGACTTCCATCGGTTCTCCTTGATCTATCGGTTCTTCCTGCGATTCGGGTTCTTGTTGTTCTTCAGACTCTTCGGCTATCATGGGAAGTTTTTCGGCGTCGTCTTTATCGACCGAAAAATTGTTTAGATCTACCGCTTCGGAAGGCGACGTCGGCGACTCGCGTTCCGGTGGTATATCGGCACTTTCCGGTCCAGGACATTCTTTTTCTTCCTCTGGTGCCGGTTGATCGGAAATCGACGTTTCGGCTTCCTGGGGTTGATGTTCCTCTTCGAGGTTTTCCTAGTTACGTAGGTTATTTTTATTATTCAATTTTGTAGAGTGTGGGAAGGGGAAAAAGATAAAAATATAGAAGAAACAGTGTTTATTATAATAGTAAAATAATATAGATGATTCAAGATATATTACGGAGTCTGGCTTAATCACATTAAATAATTTTTAAGATATATTAGAAAAACTATATAAACTACTTGGGCTCATCAGGTATAAGTTTGCTAGACTACGGCAGGAAGATATTGGGAATTAAAATGAATATTTAAATATATTTAAAAAGCTCCTAATAATCCTTTGAAGGGATGTTTAGTGTCTACAGTTAAAATTGCAAGCTTAGCACGAGCTATGTACAGGGCCGCAAAGTATGATTCATTTATTAATATTGAAGTAAAATTCAAAATAATATTACATAACGAGTGTGCACGAGTAGAAATATTGTAACACAAGGTATGGACAGAGTGCGTTAATCACAGGAGTCAACAAAAATTTACGCAAGTGATGTACATAATTTTTTCTAAAACTAAAAGACTTATTTAAAAGCAGTAGATATAAATTTATTTTTAATACTTTAGATTTATTTATTTTTAATATGTGCAATTAGTGCCCAGCAAATTTCTGTCTTAACCTTCCGGTAGTGTTGCCAGTTTTTTTTATAATCAATTCTTTTACAATCGATTTTTTTTACAATTGACTCTTTACAATCGATTCATTTTATAATGTTAACTATTGCCCGCAGAAAAGTACTATTTAGTCACTAATTTAACTCACCTCGCTTATTTGTCCTTCTGGAGGTTTAGACTATATAAACAATATTTATCATTACCACAAATAGCCTGTTTCATACAGGAATAATTGGAATGTTTGGAAAAACAATGAAAAATAAAAGTCAAATCAACAATGAATAACGTTTTTGGAAAAATATGTTAAACGGACGAAAAAAAAATTGTGTTTTTGGAAAGACAATGGAAAATATAAGAAACGGAGAATTAATTGCGTTTTTGGACATACAATTGAAAAAAAAAAAACGATTAAAATTGAAAAAAGTACAACTGCTCGCTAAAATATATAAATTTTATTCAAAGAATTTTTTTAGAACTTAGTTAACGATATTTAAAAAAAAAATACATAAAATTTGGCGAGCCATATCCCAATAATTATTAACGTTAGAAAAGTTTCGAATAAAAAACAAAAAATAATTGAATTTTTAATATTTATTACCTTAACTTCAATAATTAAATTTTTAATATTTATTACCTAAACTTCATATTCTTTTATTAAACAATTTGATGCCATCTATATCGTTCTTTGGGAAAACAATGGAAAATATAAGATAAAACAATCCAAAATAAATTTCTAAGCTGGCAGCAATTTTGAGGAAAAAAGTACAACTAATATAATTAAATTTTATTCAAAGTATTTTTATTTAGGATTTCAAGTTACCGAATTGTTTTCAAAAATAAAAATTATACATACAGTTCATCAAATTTCTAGAGGGGTTCGACGCCCAGACAGAGAACGCGCTACGTGTGACTAAGATAGCTTTTGTACAGTCTGCTAAACAAATTATTTTAAATAGTTTTTAATATTTTTAGGTAATTAAATTAATTGTAGTTTACACGTACATATACCTCTTAACACTTGTTTGCTTTATTAAAAAAGTGTGTTGTTGTGATTTACGTCGAAATAAGTCAAAAACAACTTGAAACCCCATATAAAATCAAAAAGGAGAAACGGAAAAAAATTGAGCCTGTAAATGAACACAACTCAGAAACAAAAATAGCTATCTAATAATAAAAAAATAAAATTTGATTCTTGTGCAGCTTCATCTATATCATTAACTGTTTTTGGTTTTTTAATGGTTTTTCTTGGTGATGAAAATTCCGATATCTCACGGTTATCGATTCTTTTTTTCTCTCCAGAAATGCGGACGACAGTGTTTTTAGATACTCCTGTGGCTGCAGCAACACGATCATTTACATTTTTAAATGGTATTGAAGGTGAATTAAAGTTTCCTTCTCTTCTCATAAACTCTATTACATTGGCTATTATTTCGCGAGATTGACTGTTAATCACGCGGCCTCTTAATTTGCTATTAAACTCCATACTTAGGTTCTATTAAACTGTAATGAGCAAAAAACACAAACGAAAATAAAAGAAATGTTTTAGCGAAATTTACATCTGACATTTACGTCTGAATGAAATAGTGAAATACTTGATGCGCAGAGTGTACTTTCATTGCGTAAATCCGTCGGGATGCCTGTCAGTAGTGCTTTCTCTGTCTAGCCGTCGAAAGCCTCTAGAAATTTGATGAACTGTAAAGTTTGACGCGCCATAAGTTTAGGATAAAAATTGGTAGAAAATGTATTAATCTAAAAAACCGTAATTCTCCTAGATATTAAATTAAATGCGTTATCTAGAGCAACCAGGATGATACTATTTTAAATTTTAATTTCTTACCTGACTAATGCTTTCGTCCATTTCTTCATTTTCAGCAGTCTTATGCTCCATATCGTCAATATCCATTGGTTCTTCATTACTAACATCCAAACTACCATCAACATTATCCTCGCTGGTATCTTTCGCCTCGTGTTGCTGTTCTGCACTCTCATTCAACGAATCGTCGGTCTGAACTTGACAATGTTCTTCGGTTTCTTCGATTTGTTGTTCGTCTTCCGTTTGCGCAGCATTCTCAGGTTCGTTATCTACGGGTATTTCTTGAACTTCCGTTTCGGAAATGTCAGGCATACTTTGCAATTTCGTCGTGTGCTGTTCGGCGTGCATTTCCTCTTGCTTTCGTTCTTCGCTGAAGAATGGTTCGTGTTTTAACTGCGAGCCTTGGCTCTCTATTTCCCTTTAAGAGTGAAGTAGTAAATAAAAAATTCGAATTTAACTGATGCGCAAATAAAGATTAAAACCAATAAGATAAGAAATGGATCAACAATATATTAATTGAAATAAAATGAATTTAGCTCAAAGCCGAATATCACATAAAATACAACGACCGTTTCCCCTTCCGAAAACAACTACTCCTTTGGCTAATACCACAACAGGCATTGAATTACATCCGAAGGAAAAACAGCAGAGATAGAAATTAATTTTCAACACTCTCTACTTCGATTTTGCTCACCAAGGAGAACATCATTCTTGGACCGGTTTCGTCCTTATTAGGACTCCTCAGCAAGAAATAGATAGGTTCTCAATTCCAGTCTCTAATGGAATTAACAAATGCTACACATTTCACCAGTATACCAATACATTAATACCAATATATTAATTGTTTGGGAAAACAATGGAAAATATGAGAATCGGACGAAAAAATAGTGTTTTCGGGAAAACGACGGAAAATATAAGTATAAATACCTTTGAATCATTTCGATTGACTCTATGGGCGAATCTACGGAATTAGTAACCACCATTTGACTAGCTGTGGTGGTCGCAATCGTAGGACCGTTTCTTATTTCCAGCATGCCGGTTTGGGAATTTACCATCAAATTTCCCTAAAAGAAAATAATTGAATCAAATTAACTTCGTCGGCGATTTTTTTTATTTACCTGTGATGTTATAAATTGTCCTTCCTGTCCTTCGACTGGATGGCTGTACAAGACGACTATATTCGAATTCTCTGGGTTTTCGCCTTCCTGTTCGTCTGGGTAGTCGTGGTCCGTCAGGACCATTACTAGTTCGTCTGTTGACGCTATGTCGCCGGTGCTGCTTTGTATCATACCTTAAAAGACAGGAATTTTTGTAAAGCCCATTTTTTACAAGAGCAAACAAATGAGAAAGTCGATCACAATTGAGGGCGTTAATAATAATAAGGAGTTCTTACCATTCAAAATATATGACCAAATTATTAATAGGAGCCGCAGCCAAAGGCGGAGATAGTATTATTGGCGCCTGGGACAGAAAGGGACATTCGCCGTTTCGTTTTTAAGATCGTTAATGATAAAACTAATTTTATTGAGTTTTTATTATTAGTATACAAGGTAATTAAATGTTTTATGTTACCAATTTAATAAATTAAATTCATAATAACATCAAATATGTAATTCAAGATTTAAAGTAAAATAACTTAAGCATAAATTTGTCTTCTCTTGACATTTGCATCAGGTGCGCCTTTCGTTCTATCCCCTAGCGCCACTACTGGCCGCAGCGAAAAAAAATATATCCAAAATTGGCGAAGTAATAGTAATTATTTATTATTCAATAAATAATGATATGCAGATAAAGCGATAGAACTAAAATATATTAAATTTAATAAAACATTTAAATAGGAGTTTTAAAAATAAAAAACAATTAAAATACTTGTATATTAAATTTAATATAATGTTGAAAAACGAGTTTAATATAAAATAAAACTTAATATTATTAATATTGTGTAAATAAAAATGCAGAACTATTAAATCATTGATTAGAAGTTCAAAATGTAGAAAGAAAAAAAATTGATAGAACCAAAATATATTAAAATTAATATAAAATAAAAAAAAAATGCTGTAAATGAGTTTAAAATAAAATAAAACCAATAATATTAATATTCTATAAATAACAATGGAGAACTATTGAATTATTGATTAGAAGTCCCAAAACGATTAATTAAATGCAGAAAATAATCAAAATTTCAGATAAAGCGGCAGAAAACTAATATTTATTAAATTTAATAATAAAATAAAAAACAATTGACTAAAACGAGTTTAAATTAAAATAAAACCTTCTAAATTAATAATATTTTATTAATAACAAATGGAAAGCTATCAAATTAAAAATTAGAAGTACCAAAATTCCTAATTAAATGCAGAAAATGGGCAAAAATGCAGAAAAAACCCACAGAATAAATAAAATATATTAAATTTCATAAAAAAATTTAAAAAACACTTGCTTAAAACGAGTTTAAAAGAAAATAAAACAAAAACATTAATATTCTATAAATAACAATGGAACACTATCAAATTAGTAATCAGAAGCTTTTAAAGGCTTAATTAAATGCATAAAATGGACAAACAAAAATGCAGAAAAACCAGGAGAATAACTAAAATATATTAAATTTAATAAAAAAATGCGTAAAATCATGAAAAAATGAGCTTTAAAAAACCTTTAAAAGGAACGAGAAAAATTAATAATATTCAATAAAAAAAACATTGAACTATCAATAAAATTCCAAAAGCGTTTAATTAAATGCATAAAACAAACAAATATAAAAAATAAATCGTTTAAAACTATGAATAAACCTTCAATTAACTAAAAATGTGAAAAATTATTTATAATAATTGATAATTAAGGGAAAATACTATTTAATTATTGATTGAAAGTCCCAAAGCCCTTAATTAAATGCCTAAAAATAGATAAAGAACAACAAAAAACATAACAATGAAAAATATTGAATTGTTGATTGGAAAAAATGGAAAATTAATTCTAAAATGTAATTGTTTGTCTCCGGAATTAAATTAAGAAAATCGGCAAAATACTGATAAAGAAGCAGAACAACTATAATATATTAAACTTAATACAAAATGGAAAAATTCTGCTACAGAACCACAGAATAAATTATTATCTTTTGAATTCTGCTTAAAAACAAATAAAAAAAGTCTTTAAACATTACAAAAATCACAAAACTACCAAAATACTAAAAATTATGATTATTCGAATGACTAAAGCGACAGAACAAATAAAATATATTAAAATTATTAAAAAAAAAAAAAAAAATCGAAAAATTAAAAACTCACAAAACCTATTGAAAATATATTAATTTATTAAAAATTTCTGCTTAAAAAAAAACCTTTATAAATTACAAAATTCTCAAAACAGCCGAAATAGTAAAAAACTGATGATTATTTTAATAAATAAAGCGACAGAACAATTAAAATATATTAAATTTAATAAAAAAAAAATGTATATAAAAATTCCTGTTTATAAAATAAAAAAAAAAACATCTTTACAAATTACAAAACTACCGAAATACTAAAAAGATTATTATTTGAACGAACAAAGCGGCAAAACAACTAAAACATTAAATTTAATAATAATTAAAAAAAATTCCTGCTTAAAACTTTGCAATTCAATTTTGATTGAAGCCTCAAATCACTTAAAGGCATTTTTTATTTTTAAGCGGCGGGCGCTTTTATCCCAAACCGACAGTATCATAAAATACACTTACCCTGTTGAATCACAGTATTATCCTGGGTACTAATGACTTGTCCACTAAACGACTGCCCGTGCCCCAATTCCGGTATAATAAACTTCCGCTCGCTACCCCCATCCTGTTGAAGAATATACTGCTGATTATCATCCAATACCACTATATCCACCAAATTCAAACTCGTCGCGAGACCAGTAGCCACGTTATTCAACGCCTCAGCCTCGGAACTCGCATCCAACTGAACCAAACGATTCTGCTGAGCGCCATCGGCCTCCCGTCGATTCGGAGGAACCGTCACGTTGGAGATGATCTTCACTTTGTCTTTGTGCAACGTGTCAGACAGCATCTCCGGTACGATGAACTGCTGATCCTCATCGTCCACTTCCTCCAAGTCCTCCAACGTGTCTAACTCCTCCAAACAAACGATGCCGTCCCGCTTTCCTTCAGACAAATGCGCTTTCCTTATGTGGCTCATTAAAGTGATGGCGGATTGGAGCTTCTTCATGCAGTACTGGCAGTCATAACTGACTCTACCGGGTTTGTTGTAATGGCCGGTCATGCGAATGTGCGCTGAAAGTGCTGGAGTGGAAGCGAACGCCAGTTTGCAGTCTTGGCATTGGATCTCGTTTGGATAGTGGAGAAGTACGTGTTTGTTCAATCTATCGACGTTCAGAGCTGTAACGTCATATAATTAATAATAATAATAATAATAATAATAATAATAATAATAATAATAATAAACAACTGTCTTTATTAATAAAATTTTCGAAATGTTACAAAAATTTTAGTAATGTAGCGAGATTTAGCCACAGGCTATTCTTACATCTAACTCCTCTTAATTTAGAACATAGAAAGTTTTAAGATATATTAAAATGTTAAAATACAATACACAAATAAGGTTAAAACGGTAGAAAACATATAAAAATAATAATAAAAGTAGTAAAATTAAAATAAATTTAAATTTTAAATATAGGAAAACACGTATTAATCGTTGGCTTTCTGTTGGAGTAGGATTTTTTTAGTTGGTGTTTAAAACTTGATCGAGAATAAGTATTTTTTAGATCATCACCTAGTTCATTATAAAGTTTAATGGCATTGTACATAAAACTTCTAACATAAACAGCATATGTGCGATGTGGCATTGTTAGTGTAAAATGTCTGCGGATATTTACATTGTGAATCTGATTACGAGAAATTAATTTAGTTGAAAAATATGGTGGATTTTGAGATTTTAGTATATTGTGAACAAAAGAGAGAAGATGATATTTAAATAAGTTTTTAATATTTAGCAATTGCAGCTGCCTAAAATATGTTGAAATGTGATCATATTTGCGCAACCCATAAATAAAGCGACATCAGGTATTTTGAATTTTTTGCGGTCTGTTCGCCGTTACTAAATCTAAACAAGGATAGTAAATTACTATGCAATATAATATTTTACTCAATATTAGAGTTCACAAAGTTATTTTGTTGTGACAATATGTACTTATTGGCAAATAATAATTTTAATATTAAATAACACTGAGAAGAGAGGTTATTCACATATTCAATAAACCGCAAGTTCTCATCTAAAAGTAAGCCTAGACTTCTAGCTACATTTACACACGGGACTGTCTCGTTATCAATTTTAATTGAGATATTACTCTTTATACTTGAACGTGAGTTGGTATTCGAAAATAAAAGAGGTGGAGGAATGGAAATCGGATTGAGTCTTACATTTTTGCCCTCTATATAGACATATCATATCATTTTTGGCTCTTATTTCGGAAAAAATTAAATTTTTGACTTTTTTACTATGTATAGAAGAGGAGGGAAGGGGTTGTGAGGGGTGAAGTCCAAAATTTTTTTTACCTCGGGGTCTAGTCCCTGATACCCGAAAACCATTTTCCTAGGTTTATTAATTCTACAGCTTAAAAGATTGTATTACATCATTAATATTAAAAAATAAAAATGCCCACGTTGGGCGCCAAAAATTTGAAGTACTTACCAACGTACGGGCATTTTTCGCAGCTGGGAAAATTATAGGCCGACGGAGGTTTCAAAGCGTGTTTCGTGTACATGTGGTACATCATTAGGTTGTGATTTCCGCATTTGTGTCCGCAATACTTGCATAAACGCGCGTCGAATACTTCGTCGTGCATGTCGGTCATGTGTTTTCTGTATAGATAATAAAGGACGAACTCCTGTACTTCCCCGCCCATCGAGACGCATTTTTTGCACACCCACGGACCTTCGTCGTCCAGTACGGTTTCTATTTTGTTTTTTCGTTTCCCTTGGAACTGCTGCAATGGGGGTGGTCTCGTTTTGACAGGTTCCGGCTGTAAAATTAGGAATAATATAAAAAATAAAAAGAAAATAGAAAAAAAAAATTATTTATTGTTTAAAAAATCGTAGGTTCAATAACGAACTATTAAATTTGCTATTAATTTCTTTTTTTTATAATTATACACAATAATAAGTTGTATATTATAATTATGCAAGACTGTATTAAAAAACAAAAAAGTATGAGATTATTGATGGAACACAAAATTTTGTACATGGATACTTTTTACCACAATAACAATATATACCTCAAACAAGTATTATGCAATTCTTCTGTGGATATTTAAATGTTTATTCCATAAAATAAAAATATATATTCTATTTTTACGTTTTTTTAAAGAACATTATTAAAAAAGTTCGAGTAAACTCAACAAGATGACGCTGGTATTGTAAATTATGACTTACCTGAACCGGTGATCGCCTAACTTGCTCCACAACAGCGTTGACGATCTTTTTTTCGGACGTATCTTTACTTCCTGGCATGATTTTCAGTTTGATGTTCTTATTCTTTTTGACAAGGTCGGGGTACTTTTTTAAAATTTCCGTTACTATTTTGGTATGATCGATATCACCTGGCGTGCTACTTTCAACACTGATCATGGTTTCTTTGTTTTCCTTGTTGCTAATTTTGATTCTTTTCGTGGGCGCTTTGACTAGCTGGGTCGTGTCAGCTTTCCTTTTTTGGTTCAGTTCGCTAATTTCATCCGCTAGACATAAAAATTGTAACTATAGTAAAAATGAGTGTTATTGAAATAGATGTAGATAATAACATAGATTAATATTTAGGATCTACTAGAATGAACCAGAATATTATTTTGAAAATTACCAATAACTGAAGGAAACATTTAAGAAATTGTATGTCAAATCAGGTATACACTACTAGATCATCCTTATCGAGTCACAGCCTCTGTCTGCCGATATTCAAGTTGAGAAATACCCAATAACTTACCATTGTTGTAGGAAGTGGCAGGCAACAAACCATATTAAAAATATTAAACATAACAACCTCACAAAATGAGTCAAAAGAACTACTCTAAATTGGTATATTTAATGCTTTTTCGTTTTTGAACATTATACACTCTGGCCACTTACTTGATAGGAAATTCAATAACACCCTACGTAGAAATTTCATAAGAAAATACGTTAGTTTTACTTACGATCTTCGAACATGGCCGTTCTAATCCTCTGTTCTTTAGAGAATTCTTCAATGTCTCTGAAGTTGACGGAATTGTTGCCGGATTTCGACGCCCCCTTTTTAGGAGTTGGAAGTTCGACGTTATGCCGTAAATCATCGAAATTCGGTTTAATCTAAATGATAAGAAATAAGGATGTACTTGCGTACTAACTGCAAATACCATTAAGTATTTTTTTTTAACTTTAACAATCATTGGTTACAATCAAATTGTCATTTGAGATCGAAATAATTTCGGCGTGTTAAATTTTTGAACTGTTGTCTCCGAGGTCCAAAAATGTAAAATCCTAAATTGGTTTATCCCCACCTGCTATAGAAAAAAAAAGTGTATGTTATCAAACGCAGGATAAAAGTAAACTTAGATGAATTCGCTCTGAAATAAATGTTTTATTTTTTATGAATTTTTGTGTATTTTTATGTATTATTACGTATATTTATGAATTTTTATGATTTTTTTTTGTAATTTTTATTAACGTTTATTTATTTTAATTTATCGGGAGATATTTCATCAAGGTATCTGGACATCGAAATATGTCGTTGTCAAGGTGTCGGGACATCAAAGTGTGTCGTTTTTTATCAATTCACTCCTCCTATTTTTCATGACAAGGGAGTCATAAGAAGTTTCGCATAAAAAAAAAACAAATTGATTTATCGGAAAACAATTGTGAGAACAAAATGTAGGGATCAGAATTTGCAATTATTTCGTCCTAAGCTGAATTCTCTTTAGTTGTAGATCTCACAAAAACCTATAGATAACAAAATAAATGTGTTAATAATTTAGTATAGGATTTTTCCGTAGTTTGGAAACCAGATAAAAAAATTTTTGTTTAAAAAATGTTTTTATCAGTGTGACAAAAATATTCGTAGTAGTGTTATTTAATGTTGTTTATTTTTTTAATAAAACCATTTTTTACCATTTTTCCTGAAAAGAAATCTAATCTTAGGTGCATATAAAACTATCAGCAACAGGCATTAGAAACTGTTGGGATAAGTTATTAAGTTGTTAATTGTTTTTTTTTAGATCTGCAACTTTTTCATTTCAAATTTCAGCTAAAATCACTTTTTGATAACTCAAACTACCTCGCGCGCTAATATATTATATTATACAAATTTTCTTTTTTTAAATAAATTTTTTTTAAAGTTCATTCTACACTATAAACATGGAACCATTCATAATATGATTAATATGTTTATATTGACTCGATACGAAATTTTGCAGCGGAAATATCCAACTACGTGTTTTTTTCAAATGATTCTTGTTATTGTCTCCACCTCCAGATGCACTCAGAGAGTAAAACAAAGATCCTTTCGATTATATTTTTGTTGACTTGATATAAAGAAATTCTAACAATTGTTACAAGAAATAGGAATGTCATGATCTCCGACTTGTTGCAGTACGAATATAACCTTGAAACGTATACACAAATACACTGTCCGATCATATATATTGCAATAAATGTATCTATCAGCATATTTTTCCGTATTTCATTAATAAATTAAGCTTTTGTTATCGTAATGACATAATGTGACATAAGAATTAAGTAAAACTAGGGATAAGCTTTATTTTTTGTTTTGTATGAATTTTAATCCTTTTCTTAGTGATTTCTAGCAGTTATAAAAGGCTCTTATGGTAGCTGGAAATCGCCGAGGCTTATTTACTGTGCAGCGTTGCAATTAAACGACGTCATTGGCATTGCGACGTGACGACAGCGCTTTTCTATTTCTTGGCATTAAATTTGCTACCACTTGGAACCCCTTATGTTTATTTACGAAAGTACGAACGTTGATATTGAGTCCGCCACTGACCTTTGAGCCCTGATTCAGTAAGCTTGGCTTATGATGGCCTATGAAGACTAGAGAGAAGGAGGCGAATCGGCAATGGTCAAATTTCCGTCCTTTTCATAAAGTTTGTCAAATTGACTGTAGTTGGCAGGTCGAACGTCACTGCCGTTCATTTTCTATGCAAGTCAATGTAAAGTGAAGAGATTTTTGAAAAAATTGGTGAAAAAAGTACTCAAGTACAAGTAACATGAGTGACAAAAAACTTGAAAGCAAGATTTACTTCATTTCAGATTGTAAAACAGGATACAAATCACATGCACAACTAAAGAAAAACACAAGGAGAAATCAATTCAATGTATTTTTAAAGCTTCTTATATAAGTAAAATAATGTATTTATGTCTAATATATATTTATTGTAAACTAGTCACAACACGTATCTTACGGAGTGTAGTCTATTTTATTACAAGTTTCTACAATATAAAATTTTATAGTCTTAGATTCTGACTTACAAACAACAATAATTATACAATAAATTTAACTTGCTAGAAAAGAAAATTTGTTTTTTATAGTTTTAATGTTAGATAAAGAGTTGCTACTTTTATTTTTTGTTGAAACCCAATTTTGTTATTGTAAATGTTTTTTATAGGATCCTAAACGCTTAGCATATATCGTTCCTAGGGCCGATAGAGCACTTTCTAGAGACACTTTTTAGAAGATATTTTCAAATATTATGACTCTTTTTACTGATGGTACTGTAAGCAAAATAAAAAGAAGAAAGCTGAAATTAAAGGATGAGGCAATATCATGTACATTCCCAAATCTCCATTTATGCTTGCATTATAACAAAAAATCTGTTAACTCTGTTTTATTTTGCTTTTAAAACTATATTTAGGTATAATTCAAAAACATTTAGACACAAAATTGTACTTACCAAATTTCACCATTTAACAAACCTTTTCGAATTTGTTCATACCTACTTATTTTGCATTGTATATTGATAAAATTAAATAATTTATCAATTAAAACACGCAAGACTTATTTAGAAATAAAAACAACAGTATATTCTGTGCTTTATTTGGCAATAAACAAGTTTATTTTTATTATTTTGACAAAATTATTCAAAATTCTCATAAGAAGCCTTGTATTTTGAACAGCCTAGCAACACTAGCGCCTTTGTGGTGAGTTAAAAAAGCTCAATTAGCGAGTATGTCGATTCGTTTCCTTATCTCTAGTGTACATATGATGGCCTGGAGACTAATAAACGCAAAGGGGAGGTTTAAAATGACGTTATGCATGTCAATAAAATTGCGGTAAATCTGATTTTTCGAAAACTTCGACGCCCTCTATCTCTCTGGGAATAAACTAGAGTTCGAACTCTGAAAAAATGTTCCAAATGTTGAATCCTACATTTTTTGTTGCCATACTTTTTTCTTCTGACGAACAAATAAATCAATTCCAACATTTTTTTAAGATAGTGGAATTTCCATAGCAGGTGGGAACACGCCAATTAGAGATTTTACGTTTTAAAAATACATCAAACATTCAACATATCCTCAATTTTGTCATTGAGCTCTCTTAATTTACGAAAAATTGAGTAAATTCCCCAATTTTATCGATGTACTCCTTATTTTATGAAAATTTGACTGCAGTAAATCTGGTACTCAAAAATAACCTAAAGACTGATATAAGTACCTTTTCTTCTTCTTCCTTGGTGAGCAAGGGCCTGCTAGTATAAGAAATATCCTCGAAATTAGTATCGAGTAACGTCATCGTCGGTAGATCATCTTCAGGCCACTCGAACCTCGTCGGCTTCGGGGTGTTATCTAAAGACAAGGGATCCGCTGGCGTGTGCCAATTCTTTTCGAAGCCTTGAACTGGATTCGATGCAGCTGGGACGTTTTTCCTTTTCCAAACGGGCACCTTTCGACCCGGCAGCGGAGACGGTAGCTCGACGTGATGTCTGGGCTGCGGTGGTTGTCTCTTTTCCGGTTTTGGTTTCGAGGGTTTCGGGGTGGGTGCGGGTTGTGTAGGAGGGGTTATTTTTTGGGCGTCCAAGAGCTTGGTTAGTATCGAAATGTTCATCAATTCCGCTACTCTGTAGAGCTTGTCATAGAGCGATACGTGGAATTCTAGCATACCTTTGCGAAGTAATATGAAATAATTAATGATCTATTCAGACAAGAATTTTGTATAGAACATTTATACAACATTAATAGAGAAAATAATAAATATATCATGTTTGATAGGGTAGAATAAGAATGAAAACTATATTCAAACATAAATTATGATGATGAAAAAGTGTTTTGTACCAAAATTCAACAGATTCTTAAAAAAAACTGAATAGGAATATATGTTAATTGTGGTTTCAGGCAGTGAGGTGCTATAGAAACAAAAAAATACACGTGAAAACCTTATCAGGACCAGATTTATTTAAAGCTGTAAATGTCCTAGGGCAGCAAAGAAGTGGAAGACCTCCATACTATTTTTCAAACAAAAAACCTATATTTTTACTGTAAGATAAAATCCATAAATGTATTATGTAGACATCGTAAAGACAAGAAATAATAATAAAATTTATTCGAAAATTCAATTTTTTTTATACATAATATATAAAAAAATAAAATAAAAAATGTGTGGAAAGGCTGCAAAAAGGTTTGGTGAACAGTCAAGACTGATCAAAGCACCAGTCCGGAAATATTTTCAATGCCACAAGACATCGTACAAAAAAACATAGGTATAATTAAACAAATGTGATTTTTTTTAAACAAAATATGAACTAAAAAAAATACAAATTTTTTAAAAATATTACAGAAAATGGCTCTAAACTGAATCTAAGATAAGTTAGATAGAATTTTTTTTATTAAATTTTAATATAAAACTGGAAATAAATAATATATGGACACAATAAAAATAAAGAATAAAAAAATTTCAAAATTATACAGAAAATTGGCTCTAAAATGAATTTAAGATCAGTTGTTTACTAATTAATAATAGTGGAGCGCTTGGGGCGTTAAAAACAAAAATACTTCGAACTTGAGCTGCAGTGAATGTAATTTAAAAATTCAGAATGGAATATTTTGCTAATATATACAGGGTGTCCCAAAATTAGACGGTAATTTTTTAACAGCGTAATCTATATACTAAAATAGGAGTAAAAGTTTATATAAACATAGGTCCGCAAACTTTTTGTTTCCGAGATACAGTGTGTTAAAAGTGAAGTCCTCATGATACATTTTTGTAAATATTTTCTAAACTTTTAAAGATAACCAAGTGAAATTTGGTACAAATGCTAAACTTTTTACGTTCTATTTAATGGACTAAACACACCAGTTTTTGATCATCTTCAGGGGAGGGACTTAGGTTTAAATTGTGGGCTGTTTTTAACATTTTTGACTACAAAATTTGGCAAACCAATATTTTCTTTATAATAAAGCTACTTTTGTTGTATCTCGCTAGGACGCACCATTTTCAAGAGAAAGGCATTTTAAAATGTCATGATAAGTTGATGTTATCTTATTCAAAAGTGTAAACAGTAATCAGTAGGCCTGTGGAATCAGAATGTTTTTTTTAACTTTGGAAAACCGGTGACTAAAGAAATTTTAGAAAATATTTACAAAAATGTGCCATCAGGACTTCACTTGTAACACCCTGTATCTCGAAAACGAAACGTTTTCGGACCTATGTTTATATGAACTTTTACTTCTATTTTAGAATGTAAATTACGATGTTAAAATATGACCATCTAATTTCGGTATATATAAAAAAGTTTACCAATTTAAAAATTGTGATCTTGTTTTAAAAAAATTAAATAATTGTAATAATTCAAATAGTATATTCAGATAGTAATTGGGAAAAAGAAGTAAAAGAAGAAAAATGAAATAAACAAGTAGTATTTTTTTATATGAACTATTCAAATATTGTGGCATATTATCGGTACCTTATTTATCTGCCTATTTATCTAGTAAAAATTTTATTTTCTCATAGATCCCATCATCAAATCCTGACCAACTGTAATGGGGCCACCCCTGAGATGTCCCCTTTCTAACAAAAAGAGAATCCTGGAAATCGAACAACGTGGAAAAGAATAATTATTGCTGAAAAAATATATAAAAAAATGAAGTTTGATGATTTTTTTCATGGTCTCCATTATTAGATCTTGACCAAATTATTGACCAGGGAGACTGATAATACTTCTAATATTTAAAACATATTAGTAACTCCAGAAAAGCTATCTCAATAACTTATGAAGCATCTGCCAATATAATGGCTGACATTGTAGTTCATTCAACACCACAAAAAGAAGTTCGAGAGAACAAAATACAAACTCCTCTTAGTATTAACATAATATCACAGCTAGTAAAATTTCAGAGAAGCCAATAATACCATCAGCCATTTAAAAGAGCCTTGTTTTGGCCTGAGGAAGAAAAAGATAATAAAAAGAGACAAAAAGCAAAAATACCTTCAGTTATACTTTCAGAACCATGACAGGAATACAACAGAAAAAAGATGCTAGAAAAGGAATGAAAGGAAAGAGAAAAATTCAAAGGGAAGAAAAAAGAGAAAGTAAAAATAAATTACAAGATAATAAAAATCTGAAGAAACTAGAACTAGACGAGTCAAGTGGAGATGATGAAGATGTGAAATATGCAGATAGGATGACTCAACCTGGAATATTGAAGAAGATAAAGAAGGAGACAAGAGATAGAAAAAGTGAAGGCTCTAAAGCACATTAAGGAACTAAAATAATTATGATTTTGTATGGGTTAATTTTGTAGGAGGCAAAAGAAATGCTCAGAAGTTTCCATATGTATGTATGACATTGGTAATATGGCTTTAAACTGTATTGACACAAGCAAGAAAACATTCATTGCAAATGAAATGGATGTTTCAACAATTTCTGTTGTACAGATTTTTGGAATACTAGAAGATCCTGAGATGATTCTTATTGGTGAACGTTTAAGATATGTATTTAAAAGTTCTTTAAGTGTTCATGAAATAATATAAAAATGTTTAAGCATTTTATATATGTTTATATTGTCTATATAGAACTTGTAAAATAAGAATATGTTTGTTAAACAATGTTTACTAATAAATTTTATTTTTATTAGTATTTTTCCCTCTTTGTTTAATTATTGTCATCCACTGGTACCATTTTCTACAATGTCAGTGGTTCTTACGTATCATATACAGGTACATAGGTGTATTAGAAAAAAAAAATAGCAATTTTGAAAAAAATATTTAAATTAACTAAATAGAACCCAGTGCATTCAATAGCTGAATGTATGAGTGACCACTTGTTTTTTTGGATTTTTTTTAACGTTCTTTTAAGAAAATGATTTTTATACTAGTACACTTCTTACAAAAATATTATTTTTTATATTTTTTGTTTAAATAATTAAAAAATTAAAATCACAAAAAAAATTGGTATACTTTGCAACTTAAAGTATAAGAAACAAAATTTCACTTCAACCATATAAATTTATTCACTGCAGCAGAAGTCCGAGGTCAAAACCCCCAGGCGTTCCACTATAATATAAAAATTAAAAAATAAATAGACTGTATCAGTAAATTGGCTCTAAAGGGATAAATATTACAAAAAAATTAAATAGTTTTCAAAATGTTACACAAAAATGGCTCAAATGAATCTAAAATAAGTTAGATGTAATTTTTCTTCACTAATTATTAAGATAAAAATAAACAATAGATGTACACTGTATATACAGTATCAGCTTTCAAATGGGGTCCCATTCGCTCCGTGCATGACAGCAGCGCCAATCAATTTATGTACTAATGGACGATTTTTGCGTATACTGACAATACAATTTTTAATAGAATTCGTAATTAAAAAGTATATATATGTTAGTTAATTTATTATTATATTAAAAATCAATAATAAAACATAGACAGGCAACAGTATTTACGAGAAAATGTATGAGAAGTTGTCTAAGTCTAATAAGTTGTCTTTGAAGAATTAACCTATTCTATCAAAATAAAAAATACCATTAAATAATAGCGTGCGTGCAGTTAAAATGTATAGTCCAATCAAATAGACCTTTGAATCAAAATTTTGGAGGAAATACAGGAATTTTTGATATAAGTCACTTTAGTAGAGTATTTGAAAACGATAGGTAAAAAAAAATGTTTTTCAGGCCTCGGCGAATGGCGAAAACCAAGAAAATAAAGTATTTTTTTAAGGTTATTTAAAAACCGTAGGTGCTATAAAAAAATGTTCTTAATAAAAATTGTAAAGAATAAACTTTTACATAAAAATTGTATTTAGCATTTTTTTGCAATTATTAAAACTAACAGAGGGTGGTTAGAAGTTAAGAGGAGATATATATGAGCTGAAAATTCAATGATTTTTTATTTTCTAATTATTATTTACTTATAAACTTATAACTTTCTTTTCAAGAAAATAATTTTTTTCATTTGTTTTTTTTTTATTTACAAATTTTCAATATATTATACTTTATATGGTAAAGTAAATTTTTAAGTGAACTTATGGCTTGCCTGACATGAAAAATAAAAGAAACGAACTGATAAAAACGACATTGCGACAGTTTAGTCCCCACTTAAAGTTCCATTAAATAAATAAAAATTATGATAAATAAATTAAAAAATAAAACTAAATAAAAATGAATAAAAATAAATAAAGATAATAAAATTTAACAAAAATAAATAAAAAGATAAAAGTAAAAAAATAAATGTAATAAAAATAAATAAATTAAAACAAATTAAAATAAATTATATTAAAAAAATGTTAGTAAAACTAAGTAAATATAAAAATAAATAAAATTATTTAAAAGGAGTAAAAGTAAGTAAAAATAAATACAAAAAATAAATAAAAAAATAAAAATGAATAAAAATATATAAAAATAAATAAAAATAGATAAAAATAAATAAATTAAACATCTCATCGCTCGCCCTGACATGAAAAATATAGGAATTGAATTAATAAAAACGACAGCCTATTCTTCATTTGAAGTCTCATTCCGACTGTGTACCATCTTTGTTTGAGCATTGACGTTATATTACCGTTTGACGTTATAATATCATACACACGTGCTATTGTACGCGATTTTCGTTTCCGTCTTTCCCATTTCCTCTAAATTATACTTCCATCATGGGTCCGATAATGCACAATATTTTTTATATTAATCACTTCATCATTTTATATATCAAACATTTTCTTTTGATATTTAGTAGAATAAAGAGGACGCTTCTGGCTCACTAATTCAAAATTCGTCACCTGTTAGTGGTGTAATACAAAACTAAGCTAAATAGTTTGAAACTTGGCTACGTGCAAATAACACGTATACGTAAATGGAGGAAATTGGAAAAATTCAACAGCGGTAGATGATATGACAAGTCATATGGCAGATAATGTGACGTGTGACATTACAGGTGACGTGACATGAATCATGGCAGATGATATGTGGCGACATATTATATACGGGCGACATTCGAAAAGTTCAACCCATGTAACGGATTACATGACACATTAATTAATTACATTTATTTTTATTTACTTTATTTTAATTTAAATTTATTTCAATTCATTTCAATTCATTTCAATTCAATTCATTTCATTTCAATTCATTTCAATTCATTTCAATTCATTTCAATTCATTTCAATTCATTTCAATTCATTTCAATTCATTTCAATTCATTTCAATTCATTTCAATTCATTTCAATTCATTTCAATTCATTTCAATTCATTTCAATTCATTTCAATTCATTTCAATTCATTTCAATTCATTTCAATTCATTTCAATTCATTTCAATTCATTTCAATTCATTTCAATTCATTTCAATTCATTTCAATTCATTTCAATTCATTTCAATTCATTTCAATTCATTTCAATTCATTTCAATTCATTTCAATTCATTTCAATTCATTTCAATTTATTTCAATTTATTTTAATTTATTTCATTCCAATTTATTTCAATTTATTTCAATTTACTTTAATTGATTTTAATTTTAATTTGTTAATTTATTTATTTTTATTAAATTTATTTTTATTTATTATCTCTTACTTTTATCTTATTTAATTTTATTTATATATTTATTTTTAATAATTTTTATTTAGTTTTATTTTTTAAATTTGTTTATAAATATTAATTTTCATTTATTTAATGGAATTTCAAGTGGGGATTAAACTGTCGCAATGTCGTTTTTATTAGTTACTCATATTTTTCAGGTCAGGCAAGCCATAATAAGTTCACTTCAAAATTTATTTTACCATGTAAAGTGCATAATATATTGAAAATTTGTAAATTTAAATTGTAAAAAAAAAAAACAAAAAAAATATTTTTTTGAAAAGAAAGTTCATTTTTTTCTAAGTAAATAATAAAAAGAAAATAAAAAATCATTGAATTTTCAGCTCATATATATTTCCTCTTAACTTCTAATCACCCTAACTCTGTAAGTTTTAATAATTGCAAAAAATGCTAAATACAATTTTTGTGTAAAACTTTATGCTTTACAATTTTTATTAAGAACTTTTTTTTATAGCACCTACCGTTTTTAAATAACCTTAAAAAACACTTTATTTTCTTGTTTTTCGTCATTTGCCAGGGCCTGAAAAACAATATTTGTTTACCTATCGTTTTCAAAAATTCCTGTATTTCCTCCAAAATTTTGATTTAAAGGTCTATCTGATTGGACTAATATATAGTAGTTGTCAGTTATATTTTTTTTATTTTTGTTCAAAAGAAAACAGAATGAATGATTAACAGTAAGTCACAAAATTCCATTCCAGCCACATACAATAATCAAAGGCAGAAATCTAGTCCTTGCTGAACATTTAAGATTAAAGGGATGTTGAAGAACATCATAAAATGAAAATTTATTGTTTATTTAAAACCTTTCAAGTTTCTGATGTCTACTATTTCCAGTATTACTGTTATCACAAAAATAAAGGTAATTTTTCTTTCCTTGCTACTGATTTTTTTTTTATAATTTACAGTGTTTTATTGCTACAATTTTTAAAATTTACAACAGAGCAAATCTGGTTGCTTATTGTATTGTTTGTACCTAGTTTTTGGAGAAAAAAAAAAAAAGTGAAATGTATAGGTGTATTTGATACGCCAAAATTACAAAAAATGCTTGAATTATCAACAGCTTGCCCTAGTATTACTTTTGCTGCCCCTACCATGACTTCGCATTGAGCGAATATGCCTTACCATGTGAAAACTACAGAGTTAGCATTAGTGTGAGCAGGAAACGAATAATATCAGCATTGCCAGTTTGTACAGCCTGACCAATGTTACAACAATGTAAACTGGCAACTCTAATATTATTCATATGTAGTTTTCACAAGTACTAGTATTGGAAAACTTTCAGTGGCCGACACTGTATATAAAATAATCAAAAAGTTACAGAAAATTGTCTAAAAAATTATTCTAAGTTCATTATTAAGATAAAACCAAAAATAAAGAATAGATGGACACACTGTATAAATATATATAAAAAAAGTTTTAATAATACATCAAATTTAAAAAATATCTGTATGAAAACTGTAAAATTTAGAAGGCTCTATTCTTAAATAATATTTTGTCTATCTCTCCAAAGATGGCGATAATACCAACAATTTCACATACAAATTTCCCCAACAGCTACAGCCGTCTAGCCACAATTATAGAAACTACAAATTAGAAGAATAACTATTGCCATCTAGTGGTTATTAATTTATAACATTAAATTATCACAAAAACCTGCATTGCTCCTTTCAATAAATCCTTTATTTACAAAGAAAAACAATATTTAAATATAAACTAGGAAATTTTATACAAAAACTTAACTAAACACTTATCTGGGTTATTTTTAACAGAAATAACAAATAATGTTTTTAAAACATCCATTGTCCATCATTACCTTTATATTTCTTCGAAATACTGAATTAGAAATTAACAGAAAGCAGTATTTTACAAGTATTGTAACCTCACCTGTATACATGAAATTCACAATCGGCACAATAACATCAGATTGAAGATCAGAAGGCATTAATATCGTGTTATCCTCCATAGCTGAACAGTTGTCTTCCAAAAATCTAAAATATTCAGTACAAGCGTTCATCACCAGCCTGTGAACTTTCAACTGCACGTTCCCATCGAATTGTAATGTTAAATCACAGTAATCCGTTTTAGCAAAAAAACACTTGGAGACGTTGGAGAAAAAACGTCCCCCAATTTTCAACCCTAACTTGCTTGTTTCCTTCAATCATGTTTACTTATAGATATAACCTAAAAAAAAATGTATACATTGTTTAAATCCTTTCATAGTCAAGTATTTTTGAATGGTTTAGATGTAAATATCAACAATCGAGTAGTAATAAAGACAAAAAATGCTAAAATGGTATACAACATAGCGGCGTCACCATACACGGCCCACTTCGCCAAGAAAAACACTTCCATCACTTCACTTGCATCGTCTAATATGCAATTTTCACATTTTATTAATTTATATGCATTTCAAGATAATATTGTTTTAAATTAACTGACCTTTTTTCTATTATCAAAATATTAGCTCCATCTTATCACAAGCTTCCAAACATACCGTATTTCTTTAATGATCATTCATTGTATTGTCAAAATGTATGTCCAGGTGGCGCTTTACGTCCCGCCAAAATTAAATTTTTACATTAATACTTAAAAATAAATAAATTTAAAAGCGACTTTGGACAATAATTATACGCAAAAGAATATTAAAATTGATTGTAAGCTTTTATTTTACTTTAATAGTGTAAATAAATTACGAAATTTAAATTAAAGTTTAATCAATCATTTGTTTGCATTGTAATGGGAGGCGGCCATGTTGGTAGCCGAAAAGCCGAACGTAAACGACTTTGAAGCGCCCCACCTACAGAACAACTAAATCAATGCGTAGTTAAGTTTAGCACCTAGAGATGGCGTTGAAATTATACCGTAAAAAATGTTTTGCATTGAACAAAATAAATTCTAACCTATTTGAATATAAATAATTTATTCCGGAAATATAATTATGTTTGTTTGTTTCTTCTGCTATTTAACCATTTTTAGAATTCATTCAAGGCCGTATTATTTAGAGACCTAGGTAGAACACCTTTTATTATAAGTATTTTGTTTTTAACAATAAAGTCTTAAATAATAATTTCATAAAATAATTCATTCCCATAAAGGTTTATAATACAATTTTAAACACGTTTATCATTACGATTTATTAAAAATTACCAAAAATAAGATCATTAATTTTTGTTCAGCTGCGAGTAAATCATAAAATCGTGCAATATTGCCGACTTGTCTCAATTGTGAGTACCTATCAGGATTTTTTCTAGAATAGTTTTTAGATACCTCGATCGAAAGCGAGGGCGGCTCCAAGATGAATTTTCGGGGGGGGGGGGGGACGACATTCCCTTTTTTAGCATATTTTTTTTTTTAATAAAAGGGCCATAATCGTAAGAATTTTCATCAAGGGGGGATAACCCCTAAGCCTCCCCTTGGAGCCACCCTTGATCGAAAGTGATTAGCATTGACCCAGTCCCAGTAAAACACAAATAATCGGCATTCGCTCGGCCTGATACCCCGGCATGTACGGGAAGCCGAGTACTTGGATTGCCGTTGTCGGGGTTGCTTCTGAGCTGGGAGGGCCGTAACATTTGACGTAATTTAGAAGTAGAAACCGCATATGGTCCATATTTGACTTTCCAGACATGGGAGGCATCCTTACGGGCCAAACTATATATATATATATATATATATATATATATATATATATATATATATAGATATGTGAACGCGGCTACAATATAGTGGGCTGCCGAAATTCGGCTGGGCGGACATGCTCTACCTATATGTCGAAGCTGCATCCGTATATCGGGCCAAGTCCGGCATCCGGTAAAAGCCTCCTTCGGTCCAGTTACGGTGCCGATTAACTCTGTGTTTATTGGGGATATTCACTAGATGTTATTTGATTCTGCTTACTAAGTATAGATGGCGATACCACTATCGCATCTACTCATGCTCGACCCGCCGTAATTGAGTTCGATCGAAATTTGTGTCCTAATCACTCCATTAGAGACTGGAGTCGAGAATTTTCATTTATTGCTGAAGAGTCCTAATAAGGATGACTTTCTCCTTAGTGGGCAAAATCAATAATTATTGGTTACTTATGAACCTCTTCTAAAGATACCCATAAAATATTTTGCTGAATATCCGAATCTTCTATATCCTGGGATATAGGGATATTTGGTTGGATATTCATATTGGATGTATTGAATATCCACAAAATATATTCTGTGGATATCTCTGGGATTTCTTGTATTTTCTGCGGAAGGTACCCGCATTAGATATTTTGCTGAATATCGATTAGGATATCTTCTATATTCTGGAATTAGACGGACATTTGGATATCCATATTAGATCCACGGAATATTTCTGATATCCTGAGGATATATATTGGATATCCACAAAAGATATTCTGTGGATATCTCCGGGATTTGGTGTGCTGTCTGGGTACTACCTATATAAATTAGCTTAGAAACAGTACAATAATATATATTTACCTTACAGACCATTATGGAAAGCAAATAAAACCACATTCACAGTAAACAAATAGCACGGTAAACATATTTACCTGCATGAAATGGTCGTAGATAAAATATATAGTACAATGCGCATTGTAAATCAATTACGCACTCATATAATAATCTTTCCATTTCTGCGTAATATAGTTTTTCCATTTATTACGCGATATACTATTACAATAGCCATCGTAGAAAAAGATTTGTACTTTCAGTATATTTTAATTTCTATGATTAGTTTTTTTTATATATACAATCTGGCAACGTTGTTTCAGATTAACGTCTTTTAATTAACATATTTGTTCATAATTATTTTCAAATATGATAAGATAAGCTTCGTTTATGACGAAATGTTTCCCTAACATGAAATATAATACCTATGGTGCCATCTTTGCATGAAAACAACATATTTTCATTCATTAAAATAAATTAATTGTTAAAATAACGATGAATCCCTTTATAACTCATTTATTCTACACCCCTGACACAGGTTACCTTGATAGATAAATAAACAATAAACGAGAGATGGCAGCATTGCGGGTCAACATTTTTATATAAGTTTTTATTTTATCAAGTGTTTATCATATTCATCACATTTCCTATTCCTACTACAATCTACAACCAAGAAGTTGGTTATTGAATAACTTGTCCCTCGCTCTGATTGAAGGAGTTGTTATTGTCACGTGCCAGTGTTTAGTGTTTGTGCAAATTGAAGGACATTCGTAATCTGACGTTGTTTTCGACGTCAGTCCCACGAGCCTCCACAAAAATTCTAATCGCGAATCAGATATTGCCATTTCGAGGTGGAATTTGTGAGTTTTATCAAGATTTTTACAGTGAAAAGTGTTCATTTTTGTATAAATAATATTAAAAATAAATGTATAGTGCAATAGTGTATAAGAATACGTCAGCCTTAATAAATAGTTGAACTTATTTGATAAATCAACCATATTAAGATTGGTAAAATTTAATTCTAAGCATCGAGAGTCGATAGTGTATTCGAATTTATTAAATTATAGTAGATTTGGATAAGAGCATTTGGGTAGACAAGCACTAAGTAGTTTTGTCGAGTCATGGCAAACTCGTGAAAGCATGGTGGACTAAAAATTAATCTAGTGTTGTGCTTGGTTATTTATAAACATTGCACCGTGATAGTAGGCCATAAATAGTTTGCTATTTCTAGGAAATTCGAAAGGTAAGCCATCCCTATTTTACGAAAATATCAAGCTGTAAACAACATGAAAGCGTGCAATGTTTTTGTTTACATTCAGCGAACAGCATGCCCATGTCCGTAAAGTGAGATGGAAGATCTTAAACGGGCTTATTATTGATTTTTCAGGTATTTCGTGTGTTGGTTGCTTGGTTGCTATTTAACTTTTAATTTCGTTGTGTTACGCAACAACATGACATTTCATGCCAAAATAATATTTGCAAGCTGGTAAAAAACAAAAAATACGAAAACAATGAAATATCAAATGTAAACAGAATGAGGTTTGCGCCAGTGGCGTACCTCGGCATACCTGTTACATGTTTATTTACAAATAGATCAATTACGGATATCGTCCACTAGCCAGCGTGTATGTATTTGAATACTTTCGACATCATTATGAAGTAAATGCTTTGATTGCCTTGTTGTTGTTATTCGAACACGGGTTTTATGAGTAATAAAAATTTCTTTGAAATATTAATTTTGTCCTTTTTCCTTTGTTAATTGGCGCGAGAGAAGGTAAACGGGTTCCTACTTAAGACATTTACTAAAAAAAATATTTTATTTATTATAATTTTTTCGTGTCTATTATTTACCTATATCTTAAAATTATATAATCTCTTGACCTTGTTAAAGATGTAGTTCCTCATTTCTCTCTAGTTTAACAGGTAATTGACCCACTAGGTATGATTGCTAAAAATTATTATGCATACAATCTGGTTTCCTATTAGGTATCAAAATAAATACTAATTAATTGAATAACAGTATTAGTGATTTTTAGAAAAAAGTTTTCTTCTACACTTATCTACCTTTAATTAGGTAACTTTTAGTCCCCCAACTAAAAGATAAGAATAATATGATATACAATCATTTTTAATTAATGTTTTGCTCTATACTGAAATTTAAAAGCAGGTATTTTACTATTCATTATAAATCATTAGGTATTTTTTATTTTAAAAACAATTGAATAGAATAGAGAGAGTAAGAAAAATTGAATATAGAGAGACAAAGTAAGAAAAAGGAAATAGTGTGCAAGAAAAAAAAAAGGAATAGAGAGGAATAAAGTATAAGAAAAATAGAATAACGTATAAGAAAAACAGAATAAAGTGTAAGAAAAAAGAATATGGAGGAGAAGAGTGTAAGAAAAAGGGAGTAGATAGGGTAAGAAAGGGGGAATAGAGTGTAAGCAAAAGGGAATAGAGAGGGAACGAGTAAGAAAAAGGGAATAGGTAAGGAAAGAGTAAGAAAAAAGAGAATATGGAGAAGAGTACAAGTAAAAGGAAAGAATAAAAGTGTAAAAAAGGGTGTAAGAAACAGAGAATATTGTGAGAAAAATGGAATAGAAATTTGTATAAGAAAAAGGGTATAGAGTGATAAAAAAAGACTATAGATAGGGAACAGATAGTTTAAAAAACGGGAATAGAGTATAGGTGAAAGGTAACAGAGGGTGTAAGAAAAAGATCATGGAGGGTGTAAGAAAAAGGGAATGGAGAAGGGGAAGAGTCTAAGAAAAAGGCAACAAAGGGTGTAAGGAAAAAAGGAATAAGGACAGGAAGAGTCTAAGGGCATAGAGTGGAGAAGTTTATTAGAAAATTGAAAAGAGTTTAAGAAAAAAGGGAATTTAAGAATATAAGAAAAAAGAAGCAGATAGAGTAATAAAAGGAGAGAAGAAGAGAGTAAGAAAAAAGAAATAAAAATATAGAGGGTCTAAGAAAAAGGGAATATACAGGGATATAGTATAATAAAAAGAATGAGTTTAAGGAAAACAGATTAAAGTGTAAGAAAAATGGAATATGGAGAAGAGTAAAATAAAAAGAAACAGGATAATAAAAGTGTAAGAAAAGGGGAGTAAAGTGTATTAAAAAGAGAATAGACTGTATAAAAAAAGGAAATAGAGCGGAGAAGAGTGTAAGAAAAAGAAAATAGAAAGAGGTAGTGTAAGAAAAATGGAATGTAGCCATTTAGAGCATAAGATTGGGTATAGAGAGTTTAGGAAAAATGGACTAGATAGGGAATAGAGAATTCAAGAAAAATAGGGTAGATAGGGAATAGGGTTTAAGAAAAAATAATAGAAAGATAAAAAGGTAACAGAGTGTAAGAAAAAGGGAATAGAGATGTGGAAGATTGCAAGAAAAAGGGAATATAGATGGGGAAAAGTGTAAGAAAAAGGGAATAGAGTAAAGAAAAGAAAATCGAATGAGAGGAGATTTAAGAAAAAGGGACTTTATGAATGTATGAAAAGGAGTATTCAAGAGAATGTAAGAAAATCGGAATGTAGATTATTAAAAAAGGAAATATAGACAAGAGAGTAAAAAAGGAATAGAAAGGGGTAGAGTACGAAAAATGGAATAGAGCAGTGTAGAGCATATGAAAAAGCGTACGAAAAATGGAATAGAGCAGTATAAAGCATATGAAAAAGGGCAAAGAGAGTTTAGGAAAAAGATAAAAAATAGGAAGTAGATAAGTTTATAAAAATGTAGGTGTAAGAAAAAGGGAATAGAGATGGTGAAACGCCTAAGAAAAAAGGGAATAGAGCAAAGAAGAAGGAAATGGTATAATAAAGAGTATGTGGGGAAATTAAGAATGTAAGAAAAATAATTTATAAATGTAAGAAAAAGGGAGTTTAAGAATGTAAGAGAGTGTAAAAAATTGGAATATGTAGAGAAAAAATGTAAGTGGAATATAGAGTGGGGAAATGTAAGAAAATGAGAATATAGAGGGAAGGAGTTTAAATAGAGCAGGGAAGAATACAAAAAGGGGAATATAGATGGGGAAGAGTGTAAGAAAAAGGGAATAGAGTGGAGAAAAGAAAATTGAATGAGAATAAGAAACAGGCACTTTATGAATGTATGAAAAAGAGTATTCAAGAGAATGTAAGAAAAACGGAATGTAGATTATTAAAAAAGAAAATATAGAGAAGATAGTAAAAAGAGAAATAGAAAGGAGTAGAGTAAGAAAAATGGAATAGAGCAGTGTAGAGTATATGAAAAAGGGTATAGAGAGTTTAGGAAAAAGAGACTAGATAGGAAGTAGATAAGTTTATAAAAATGTAGGTGTAAGAAAAAGGGAATAGAGATGGTGAAAAGCATAAGAACAAAAGGGAGAATAGAAGAAGGAAATGGAATAATAAAGAGTATAAGTGGGGTAATTAAGAATGTAAGAAAAATAATTTTAAAATGTAAGGAAAAGGGAGTTTAAGAATGTAGGAGAGTGTAAAAATGGAAATATGTAGGGAAAAAATGTAATGTAATAATTTAAAAATGTAAGAAAAAGGGAGTTGAAGAATGTAAGAGAGTGGAAGAGAGAGGAACCTAAAAAATGGAAATATGTAAGGAAAAAATGTAAGTGGAATATAGAGAGGGGAATGTAGGAAAATGGAATATAGAGGGGAGGAGTTTAAATGGAACAGGGAAGAGTATACAAAAAAAGTGTAAGAAATGTAAGAAAAAGGAACTACATCGAATGAGCAAGAAAAGGGGAATAGAGAAAAGAAGATAATGTTTGATTAAATGGGAATATACAGTAAGAAAAAGCGAATAGGTTGTAGAAAAAAATATGCTTAAGGATTTGTAGATTAATAATTTTAGCTACTGGTAAATTAAAATATCTACAAATCCAAATTCTTAATAAAACTGATAATGATAATCTAAAGATTTATTTTTATCTTTACATCTATAAATATTTTAAATATTTCTATTCTTCTTTGTGTTTCTATTGGGCTGTTTTTTTTTTTTTTTTTTATAAAATTTAGGTAATAATCCAAATAAAATAAGAATTGCAGAAGTTAGTATTGATAATAAAAATATTGTGATTATTTAGGTATAACTAGAAAACTAGATTTTTTAAAATAGTCTTAATATGAAATCATTTCTAATTTAAAATAGTTAAAAATTAAAATTTTTTATTGTGTGATAACGATACGTCGATAATCCGGATTAATTGTCACAGGACCCTGTCTGAATTATCAAAATGTCCGAATTTTCAAAATAATTCACATTAACATGAACAACTTATAAGTAATGTATTTTAATGAAAGAACAATGTACAATATGTATCTACAGAATACTGTACAGTTTTTACATTTTGTAGCAGTTAAGATGACCCCACCCAGCCTGTCTCATCAACTGTTTTGTTTGAAAAATATGTATGTATTCACTTTTTTACCCCGGAATTGAATCCGGATTATCGACGGTCTGGATTATTGACGCTCTACTGTATTTAACAAATTTTCAAATGATCAAATTTATAATGTCTACACCTCTTACTATCCAAATTTAATTGAGTCTCCCCCAAATATAAATGGATTTGGAATATAATAATTTAAAAATAACCATATAATTTTTAAAAATATATTTATAATTTTCAGCTTCTAACCTTATGATGAGCGATTTCGGAAAGGATTTTTTCCTAGATCCCGGCATCACAATCAAGCAGGAACCTTTAAACAACGACAACTCCACCATCAACATGTCCGCAAGCGTGCCCATTCCACCCAGAAGGGATCTCAACGATTACAGAGATTTCGGTTTGGATTTCGAAAATTCTCAATCTCCTTTATATTCAGACGTCGGTTTGAACTCGCAAATTCAAACACATCAGTCGATTTTCGATAATAATTCTTGGTCTCTGAACAGACTCATCAACAGCGAAGAAATGTTGAAGTCAGAGGCTTTTATACATATGGATGAGGATGATATTTTCCAAGTGGACAAGGCTGATCTGATACAGGGGCCTACTTTGGCTGAGTTGAATGCTAATGATGAGAATTTATTAGGTAAAAATGGTAATTTTCATTTTTCATTATTATTACTATTATTTAGAGATCTGTTTGTACTACATAGCTCAAAGATAAATGTGGGAGTACAATTTTGTGGTAAGATTACACATAGATCTCTTGTTTTTAATTTTTTTAGCATAACTATCCTGGATTATATTTCTACTTGACAATTTAGGTTAGGTTCAAAAAGAACTGACTGTCATCCATCATATTAGACATTCCAAACAAAATGGCTACCAGTGGGTTTTGACAGGTTATGATATGGCAAAATTATGGCAACCCTGTAGGCCTGGTCATTTAACAAGGTCAATGAAATGGATAGTTACATAGATTGATCATCCATATTTTCCAAAATAAACATAAATAAGCAGCTTATGCCTTGAAGTAAAAATGTAGGTAATTATTTTTTTACTATATTCAAAGGCAAAATATTGGTTTCTAAACACATTTTTGCAAAACAGATTCTGATTATTGTGCACTTGCGAGGCAATATGGCCGCTCACAAACGACCCGCTTTTAGCAATCTATATTACTATATATGTATCATTGGCAACAGGCTCACAGGTTGCCATATCTAAATGTCAGTTCCCACTTGTCAGCAGTTTGATAGGTCATTGGAATGCCTAATTCAAAAATGTAGCGAGGATAATGGCGTGTGATATGTCAAATGAAAGGGTAGAACAGCGATTGCTTATTAAACATAAAAGAATGCTTAATTCGTAATCATATAATATTTTTTCTACGACCTACGATTTTATTGAGAAATGTGAGATATGTCAAACGAAACTAACTAGGCAAACAGATCTTTAGAACGGCGAAAAAGCGGATAAAAGCTGTAAAATGCTTGCAAACAAAAAAAAAGGATAATATTCAATTATGATGCAGCATAGTATCTGAATCTCTAAAATCTTACATACCATACTTTTTCTACTACCTACGTTTTTATTGAGAAACGAAGCCAGGATAATGGCGTGTGATATGTCAAATGAAATGATAGAATGTGAGGATCGCTACATAGTATCCGAATCACAAAAATCTACCATATTTTTTCTACGGCCTACGTTTTTATTGAAAAATGTAGCGAGGATAAGGGCGAGTGATATGTTAAATGAAACGGTAGAACTTGAGGATCGGGTATTATACATCAGCTTCGACAATAGTCCTTTAGAACGATGATAAATGGCTAAGAAAAGTTTAAAATGCTTGCAAACCAAAACAATGCCTCATTTGCAATTATGGTGCCGCATAGTATCTGAATCCCTTAAAATCTTACATACCATATTTTTTGTACGACCTACGATTTTAATCCGAAACGTAGAGATGATAAGGGCGTGTGATATATCAAATGAAACGATAGAACGTGAGAATTACGTATTTAATGTTTGCTTTGAAAGAGTCCTTTAGAACTGCGAGAAATCGCTAAAAAAAGGTTTAAGAAGCAATTTACTTAGCTGGAAAGTGCAATAATACAAAAGTGATAGTAAAAAAATGAGGTTCATATTTGTGTGGTACTTTTAGTCTTCAAGTCCTACCTTTAAAGTGTAATCTTACCAATTTTGTTAAGTAGTCTCTATTTTGGGCCTGCCAGCATTATGACCATTTATCTCGTTTGATAAATGATTAAAAATAGTAAAAAATAAACGAAAATTCAGCGCGTTTTATTAAATATAATTTTCAGGTGATTTAAATTTCGACGACTTGCTACTACCGGAGGAGAACACTTACATAATTCTGGAAAAAGGTAATTCACAACATATGAGTCACCATATTAACAATAATCCTGTTACGTCTTGCCCCAATCAAGGTATGCTTTACCATAGGGATTTGGATCTACCCTCCAGCGTTCCTACCGGTAAGTTGAATAATCCTCTTTATTCACCTTATTTCACTACTTGTGATTTTTTCAGTAATGACGCTTTTTAGCTTGGTAACGTTTATTTTATGATTTTTGTTTTAAATGACTTTTCAGGTACGTTCGACCATTATAAATACAAGACACCCGTTTCTGCGTTTTCCCCGGAAAGTCAGAATAGTTCAAGTTCCTCCCTAGTTCACTCTCTTTCTTCGCCATCGAATGTGTCTCATTTCCCTCAGAAACACAGTACCTTGCAAGAACTTCTAGTCAACAAAGATCCCTATGGATCACCAGATCACACCATTTTGGGACAGTCTTTCCCAGAAAGGAACACAGCTGGACCCGGGCTGGGTGTTAGGTTAGGACGAGCACATAATGCAGAGTAAGTATTCGTTTTTTCTTCACCACAGATCAAGGGTTTTCAGTTGTTTTTATTATTTTTTTTTGTAGATTATCTTCTTCGGCACCTACTCACTTAGGTTTAGAACAAATCTGGCAACGCCGCGAACCTAGAAAGCATCTTCTCTCGACTAGTTCCTTAGTGGAAGCCGGCTCGACTTCCTCTTTATCAACGGGTGGTTTATTAAGCCCGGATCCGCCTGATTTATCCCAAGATGAAGAGACGGATGAGGATAGTGATACTCACTATGAAGATTTCTCTTCAGATAATGGTAAATTAGAATCGATTCGATAATATTTTCACGTCCAATGACTGTTTCTATTTTTATATTGCGCAGATTCCGATGATGATGACGATAACAAACATTCGAGGCATTCGAGTAAGAAAGAGCGGTATTTCTGGCAGTATAACGTTCAAGCGAAAGGCCCTAAAGGGCAAAGACTCGTGATGAAATCCAAAATGGAGGACCCGCACCGTTTGCACGAGGTTACGGATCCCGTTTTCAGCCCTGATTGTTCCGTTAGAGGTATCAAGCATAGCGGAAAGGCCAGAAAAGGTTAGAATTTATCAATGTTGATGTTACTAAAGTTGTTTGCTTATTTTTTAAGTTTACTAATTGTGTGGGTCTTCTGTCAATATATTGACAAATGTCAAGTTTAGTGTGCTCAAGAACTGTGTTTCTATTTTTATTTTATTAAAAATGTTTGCTTATTTTCAAGTTTTTTTTTCGCGAATTTACGAATTTTGTTGGTCTTCTGTCAAAATATTGACAAGTGACAAGTTTAGCGCGTTCAAGCACAGCGTGAAGGCCAGAAAAAGTTAGAATTTGTCAACTGTGTTTCTAGTTTGATTTTACTAAAGATGTTTACTTATTTTGAAATTTGTTTTTGCTAATTTAGGAATTATGTTGGATCTTCTGTCAAAGTATTGGCAAGAGACGAGTTTAGCGCGCTCATTGTTTGACAAAAACGTCATTTGTCAGTCCAAAGTTGACAGATTGAGTCACAGTTTCAGTTTTATGTTAAATGAATTTTAATGTAAACTTTGATGTATTTACATTCCCATAATTTTAAAATATATTTTAAAGATCGAGTTTTGTGGAAAATAAGTAAAAAATTGCTAATTCATTCTAAAGTAGCTGCGTCAGTTATCAAAATATTGACAAGCGACAACTCAAATACGATTATTGTTAGACAAAAACGTCATTTGTCAGGTTGAAGTTGATTTGAGTCACAGGACGTTTCAATTTTCTGTTAAATGAATTTTATTTTATACTTTGATCCATTTACTCTCTCATAATTTTAAAATTAATCTAAAAAATCGAGTTTTCTGGGGAATAACTAAAAAAATTGCCAATTCATTCTATAGTGGGGTTTGATTTTGTGAACATTAAGTTTGTGCGTGCGCCCAGTAGGTCCTCTGGGCCAAACATGTTTCCTATTTAATGTCCTGTCTAAATAAATAAAACACAATACCTGAAAAATGTATCTAAAGAAAAATACCACTATAAACAAAAAAACAAAAATAATATACATATATTATCTATAAACAAACAGCGGTAAAATATTTTTTTGTAAGAACACCCAATTTGAAACAACGCAGAAAATGTATTTTTAAGGATAATTAACTATTTATAAACAGTCAATGTAAAGACATTTCGCGAACATCAATGTAAATAAATTATTGCTATATTTTTTAATGACAATACATTTTCTAAACTATTTTAAAGAATAATGACATACATATAAATCTAATTAACAGATTTCAAATATTAAAAAAAATAATGGGAATAATGTCACAGTTTGTATTAAAACATCTATAAAAAAATGTGTTTCAATATTTACATTTTCAGGAAGACCGGCTTATTCCAAGATATGTCGTTTTTTCCTAATAATACTGGCAGCACTTTCGATAATATGTGACTATTCTCGACAAAACACAAGCTCACTCCTCAGATAATGCCTATCAACTGATTAATGATGATATTATTTTTGTCATTTTAAAATTCAATTTTTAAGAAAAATAACACTAGGTGGATTTTTGTGAAATAATATTAGGACATTATTCCTGTTTAAAGTTTATGCTCTTTTGGATTAAATTTTAGATTAAACTCAAAATTACCATTTTTTGGATCGTGCCACTATTCTGGAGAAGAAGTGCACTGTGTTTCCAGTTTGACTTTACATATTTTTAAGTTTATAATTGGGAATTTAATGAATTTATGAATTACGCTGTCAAAATATTGACAAGTGACGAGTTAAGCGCACTCATTAGTAGCGTTCGGTTTAGCCAGGTGCTAGAGCGGGACAAGAGCGGAGATTTTTAGGGTGCTTTAAAATGACATTTAAGCGTGTTGAACTACCACTAATCGGACTAAACCGAAAGCTAAAAGGGTCGTTTGGAGTTCAAAGAGTTAAAGGAGTGAATGGAATTTGTCTGTCCGAACTTATCTATTGTTATCAGAAACGTCATTTGTCAGTCCTAAGTTGATAGTTTGAATCACAAGACTCTTCAGTTTTCTGTAAACCAAAGTTCAATGTAAACTTTGGTAACATTACTCTTTCATATAAATATCTGATTGATATTTCACTTGCCTGTATTTTTTTTTCTCAACACACTCGCTTTCAGGCGATGGAAACGATTTGACGCCCAACTCCAGAAAACTTTACAACATCGGTCGTGAGTTAGACAAGCTCGGTCGCATCATCAACGACATGACACCCGTCAGCGAGCTGCCGTTTAACGTACGACCGACGTCCCGGAAAGAAAAGAACAAGCTAGCTTCGAGGGCGTGCAGATTAAAGAAGAAAGCGCAACACGAAGCTAACAAAATTAAACTGAGCGGTCTCGAGTTGGAACACAGTAAGAACGCGAAAATCGATACATTAATCGATAATATTAACGATTTATCGTTTTCAGAACGTCTCATTAACGGTATTATCAACGCGAAACGGATTTTAACCACCAAACTGGCCGAACAGAGTCAAGAGAAGCAAGAGGAATTGACAGCCACTTTGGAAAAGAATGTAAAAAACGCCACAAGTAAGTATGAAACAATTTCTATCAGTATAGCGTCGCTAGAAAAGAGTCAAACTTCAAAATTTAATTCCCCACATCTGTCAAATGCCAAACATATTAGGCATTCCAACGACCTGTCCAAATGGCTACCAGTGGGTAATGACAGTTTAGATATGGCAACCCTGTTGTCATGTTGTTCAATGATACATATATAGTTATATAGATTGCTCAAAGCTGGTCGTTTACGAGCGGCCATATTGCCTGGCAAATATTTATTAATTTGAATCGGTTTAGCAAAAATGTTTTTTAAAACCAATTGTCAGCCTTTAGATATTTAAAAAATAATAACTGCTTACATTTTTACATTAAGGCATAAGCTTATGTTTATTTTGAAAAATATGGATTATCAATCTATGTAACTATCTATTTCATTGACCTTGTCAAATCACTAGGCCTACAGGGTTGCCATAATTTTGCCATATCATAACCTGTCAAAACCCACTGGTAGCCATTCAGTTTGGAATGCCTAATTCCGATTGTAGTTATAAAAAAATATTTATTTGTTTTGAGGTCTAATTTTTTTTACTACTTGTGCCAAACACTAATTTTTTTTACAACTCTTAAAAGTTACTTTTTGTTTATCCTGGAGCTGTAAAATGTCAAGAGCGTTTGACTTTTCGATGAATATAAAACAATGTCTTTCTAATTGGTTACGATTTGATGTCTGTTTTTACAGATTTGCTAATGATTTGAAAATCTTCATAACAACTTTGATACATAATGACAGTATAGCCGTTTTCATGATAGTTTCTAAACTGTCCAAAACTTGACAAGTTCACAATCGGCCTACTGACTTTTACAAACAATTTCCGATTATTTGCGCCTTAAAGCTCCTTTTTAGGCTTTCTTATTACTGTCAAACATCAAGTGTCAAAGTTTCCTGACTGACATTTCAATAGTCTTGTTTTTTTACTTTTTCGTGGTTGTCAATTGTCATTCCTGAAAATTGTGTCTATTTTAGCAGACTTGTGATGTGATTATGTTGAAACAAATCTTATATCCTTCATTTTTAGGCTTTCTCATAACTTGTCAAACGTCAAGTGTCCAAGTTCCCCAACTGACATTTCAAAAATCTTGTATTTACTTTTATGTGGTTGTCAAACATCATTTCTGAAAATTGTGTCTATTTTGGCAGACTTGGGGTGCAATTAAGTTGACAAAATCGTAGACCCTCCCTTTTTAGGCTTTCTCATAACTTGTCAAACGCCAAGTGTCCAAGTTCCCCAACTGACATTTCAATAGTCTTGTTTTTTACTTGTTCGTGGTTGTCAATTGTCATTCCTGAAAATTGTGTCTATTTTGGCAGACTTGGGGTGCGATTATGTTGACAAAATTTTAGATCCTTCATTTTTAGGCTTTCTCAGAACTTGTCAAACGTCAAGTGTCCAAGTTCCCCAACTGACATTTCAATAGTCTTGTTTTTTACTTTTTCGTGGTTGTTAACTGTCATTCCTGAAAATTGTGTCTATTTTGGCAGACTTGGGGTGCGATTATGTTGACAAAATCTTAGATCCTCCTTTTTTAGGCTTTCTCATAACTTGTCAAACGTCAAGTGTCAAAGTATCCAGACGGACATTTCAAAAATCTTGTTTTTACGTTTTCGTGGTTGTCAAATATCATTTCTGAAAATTGTGTCGATTTAGGCACACTTGGAGTGAGATTACTATTGAAATCGACACCTTGTAGGCCAAATGGCGCAAACCAACAAAATGTAAATTTTACAGGAGGGTGAAAAAACCTAATATAATTTATACTAAAAACATCTTGAATCATGATTGTTTTGAGGCATTAAATTTAGGTTACTGGTTACATCCTTTGGTTTATTAATGCATTTTGACACCGTGCGTCATAATTTTGAGGTTCACGCCATTTGGCCTATGAGGTATCGAAATAATAAATTACTTGTTTTTTACTTTTCAGAATTGAAAATTGCGGGTCTCACCACGAAATGTGTCGATAAAATCCAAGACCCTCTTTTTTTTTTAGGCAATCTCAACTTTCAAATGACAAGTGTCAAAGTTTCCCGACTGATATTGTAATAGTCTTTTTTCCTTCCCACGGTTGTCAAATGTCATTCGTAAAGATTATTTCGATTTTGGTAATTTTGGGTTTGGATTAATACGAAAACACTTGTTTTTTTACCTTTCCGTATTGAAAGTTGCGTTTTTCATGTGTTGACTAGACTGTCCTTTTTTTAGTTTTTTTCAAAGTTTTCTGACTGACATTTCTATAGTCTTCTTTTTAATTTTCTCTTGATTGTCAAATGTCATTCGTTAAAATTATGTCAATTTTGGTATATTTGGAACGGGATTATTAGTGAAATGATAAAAATGTGTGTTTCTCTACCTTTCAGAATTGAAAATTGCGGGTCTCACCACGGAATATGTCAACAAAATTTTAGACAAGTACAAAACCAACACGCATTCAACGACGACCGTCGTCTTAGAGGATTTATAGATGCTTTTTAAGCAGAAAAATATATTATGTAACCAAATCTCATTGTGCATTTTCTGTGGTAACTACATTGTGGTATATTATAAAGGAGATGTTTCTATTTTAAGGTTTTAAAATGCATGTTAATGATATTTAATATTTTATCTATTCGGATCTTGTTGCTTACAGTTGATTGCGAAACAAAAAGCGGAAATAATTTTTTCTATTTAATATCTTTCAAAAATTTATTTAAGGAGGGGGAGGGAGAGCGAGAGATGTTATTAGCTACTGGGCGATTATTTTCGTTTAATTGCGATCAATCGATTACTTTCCATTAATCACTTATTTTTAAATAATAAAAATCGATTATTTTTGATTAATCATTAAATTGATTATTTCCAAAAAGTCTAAAATTGAGGATGACAATTTTTCTTTTAAATAATAAATTCAAATAGAATTTAGAGACAGTTCAACGAAAACACAGACTCAATAATTATTATACATAAAATAAAAAAAAAATAAAACGCAGCTACCAAAAATTCCAAAACAAGTCGCTATCACAGATCACAGAACGCTATGAACAAAAACTTACTCAATTGTCACTATCAACCGTTTGTTCAACACCTAAAGAAGCTGCGAACAGATTCATCACGGCAGTAGCAAACAATGACGTCAGTGAATGATGTCATAATACTTCCCTTCGAGCAGTTCACGTCGCAAAAATGATACGTAATACCGTTTGATCACCAAAAATTGGCCAAATGCGATCACTGTTTGACAAAAACGTAATTTTTGTCAGTTTTTAGTTGAAAGTTTGAGGGACAGGACGTTGTAATTTACTCTAATTTGAATGTACTTCTTTGAACTCACTCTTCAATTTTAAAATTTTTCTAAAAGATCGCGTTTTTATGGAAAATAACTAAAAAGTTTGTCAATTCGTTCTATAGTGGGGTTTAATTTTGTGAATATCTGGTTGGTGCGTCAGTTGTCTAAATATTGACAAGCGAAAAATGGAACGCGATCATTGTTTGACAAAAACGCCATTTGTCAGTCTGAAGTTGACAATTTGAGTCACAGAACGTTTACATTTTCTGTAAATTTTAATCATTTTAAAATTTGTCTAAAATATTGCAGTTGATTTTTGTATGACAAAAACATAATTTGTCAGTCTGCAGTTTAAATCCACAGGACGTTTAAATTTTCTGTAAATTGCATTTTAATGTGGGAAATAACTAAAAAAAATGCTAATTCAACCTATAGTGGAGTTTGATTTTGTGGATATCAAGTTGGTACGTCAATTGTCAAAATATTGACAAGCGACAAATCAAAGGCGATCACTGTTTAACAAAAACGTCATTTGTCAGTCTGAAGTTGACAGTTGGTATCGAATTTTAATGTAAATTTTGATACACTTTCTCCAATAATTTTAAAATGTATCCAAAAGATAGCATTTTTGGGAGAAATATATAAAAAAATGTTAAGCCTGGTTCTAAGGACTCTTTCCAAAACAGTCCAATTTGGTTTAAAAAATAGACAAAAAAGGGTGGCAAGACTTATTTGGGTGTCATCATACATTTGCCGCGTTTGAGAATCCACATCGGATGCATCTGAGATGTTGTGAATTTTTTATCACGTGATAGAGAATTAGATCTGAATGTAGATGTAATAAACAAAACGCTCTAGACTTTATTTGGTCACGTGACAAATGTCAATGACAAGTTAGAAGTTTATACTTATTAAATTTGACTTTTGAGACTACAAATCAACCTAAATTTGAAATATAAACAAAAATTAAGCAAACTAATCACTTTTATATTCATACTAGCATAAACAAAGGAAAAATTGACAAACAAGGCTTCACAGAACACTTACTTTCTAGCATGGAACAAACATCTCATTCACATCTCATTTCAAATCGAGATGTAAAAAATGTAATCTGAACAGGTACATCTGGGATAAAAAAACGCAGTTGTAGATGTAGTAGATGTGTCCGATGTGTATAAAAAAACGCTCGAGATGTAAAAAATGCATCCGATGTGGATTCTCAAACGCAGCATTTGATTGTAAATCTAATTCATCTTATAGTGGAGTTTGATTGTAAGAATACCAAGTTCGTGGGACAGTTGTTAAAATATTTACAATTGCGGTCATTTGTCAGTCTGAATCGATTTATTGTCATAAAAATTACTTAATTAGATCTGCATTTCTACAAAAAAGAAAATACATTTATATTCTATCGAAATCCAAGGGTCAAGACTCCATTTTTTGCGCTGCGTTTATTTACGCTCCTGACTCTTGAATTTAGACAAGAGTATAGTTCCTATTTTTAACTTTGTATTTTTTTTTATTTTACGCTATCTTCTGTAAGCAACGAGGTTTTAAATGTTAGAAATCGGTAAGTTTTATTAAACTAAGATATATATTTAAAAAGAAGAAAAAACTTGTTACACGAATTGATAGATTAATTTTTTAATACAAAAACACCCTATTAGTTAGTTACTTTACGGCTAAAATATTCGTTGTCTAAAATATGTGTTGGTCAGAGAAAATATTTTTTTAAAAGATATTTAGAGATTCGAGCATGAATATTTTTTACTGATATTTATACAAAAAAATATATAGTTGTTAGTCGAATGTTTATATTAATGGAGCAACGTACGGGATGACCACAGTTGAATTAAATTCATAAGTGGGATTGTCGTGAGAACTGTCGCCTTGTTTTAGAAACACCCAGTATTTTAGTACTTGTACATATAAAATTTATTTTGTAAATCACCGTTTTTTTTGTACATTTTATTTGTTGATTTTTATCTTTATTGTACCAGGCAGTACCTAAGTTTTATAGCTTTAATTTGTTATTTATATTGTAAATTGAGAATATTATATAGGTTAATTTCTTTGATATTTTACGTTTTTATGAGAGGCTCATCCAGGATTTGATCCATTTCAATAAAAAAAAAAAAAGAGAAAATTACTTAGTTTTATTTACCCAACCTGTTTCTTAAAAAACGAATGGATTTAATTAATTTTTTAGTGAAAAGTGTTAAGATGGATTATGAATTATTTAGAGTTGCAGATACCAGTGACCAGTGCAAGACACATATTATGCAGTTAATTCCTTCATTAACAAACAAGAATAGACTTTTTCATTCATCCCTTTGATTTTAAATTCCTATATATACATATATATTTTCAAAAAAGTAGGCAAGTACTTTTTTCTTCAGCATTAATCAATATCTTTAGTTTTTTTCTATATTGTGCAGACATTTTTTTTATTCAATTTTAAAATTCTTTTATTTTTCTTAACACCAAATGTTGGATCGAAAATTGGTCATATCACTGTATTATAATTTTGCTTTGAACGGCAGCTGGGCTGGGGTTGCCTTCTACCGGCAAACTGCGAGCGGGGCATGTGGTTTTTTTCCTTTTTGACTAGTTGCTTTATTGAAGTAAATTTAAAATCAAACGATTTTATTGTCGTGTTGTAGATAAATCATAAATAAATTTTGTGTTTCATTGCCGCAGTTTAGGATTTTAAAATAAAGTAAATTTGAGTTTGTTTTGGACTTTGATTTTGAGAAGTAAATTTTTCATTTCATTATCACGTGAACCCTGTAATTTTCTGTTATCTCCATCTGAAGCTGTCCGAGTCTTTTTGCAAGCTGCAACCACGTTAACAAAACTGGCGCCTGAATAAATTCCGGATCGAAGGCGTAAAGGTAAGGATTAGTTTCTTTGACACAAACACCTTATAGTAATACCAGATTACTTCGTTAAAGCACTATGAGTAGCTTTACAAAGTACTCATAAGTATCTAAGTATGAGTACTTATAAGAATAATACTCAAAGCAAATGACTACTTTTGTAAATTTTAGGGAGTACTCGCAAAAATAATTCTAGTTTGTGACTCAAGCCAAAGGAATTGTATAGTAAGTCAGTAAGTAACAAACAAAAAACGAGAGTATCACTTCTTATCTTTTATAAATTAGTTAGAACGGACCATTAATGTTTACGCCTAACTTTTCATTTTAATGTAAAGTAATATTAGTGGCAGAGTTATAGATAGAGAATACTCGAACAATATTGTTCTTAATTTTAAAATTAACAGATAAGTTCACATTTTTGATTTTATTTTTAACATAAACTGTTCTATTTTAATTTAGTTTAACTTAATTCATCAACAAAAATATCGTTTTTTTTTATTAAATTTTGCAAAACCAATTTGCTCCTATTTTAAATTCCTATGAAGATTTTCAAAGAAGGTACTTTTTCAATATTTTTCTGTATTATAGTAGTTTGTGCAACTATAGTGGATATGATGACCATATCACACAAAGACTAAGTGCGATATCGACAATCCACTCGAGTTGTACAGCAGGTATACTTTTTCTACGACCCACTAACGAAAATCTACAAATTTAAAAAAATATTTTAGGTTAAGACAAAATAACTAATTTTAAAATAATTTATGACTTTTACTAATTTGTAAAAAAAATAATTAATTTAATTAGTCCCCTGCCCAAATTCGAACCCGGGCCTCTCACGTGGAAGAAAGATGAATCATCTCCACCTCCACATTTAGGATTTTAGTTTTAGTACTCGTAATTAAATTAGTTTCATATAGTTTGATTCAAATTTAAGATTTTTTCAACATGTGGAACAAATAAAAATGCTATAATTTATCGATTCTACACAAAAATGACTTAATAACTAAAAAATATACTAACAATTAATTTGACAGAACAGTCACTTATTTAAAATTTTAAAAATAATAGTTGGGTGTCCAAAATATGAACTGTGATTGGTGGATTACATTTTTTTGCCCTGTTCTCACTACCTCGAATGGATATGAAATATGTTCATTTAGTTGAACTCATTAGCATACTTTTTCGTTTTGTAGTGTGTGTAGATAAGCCAATATCCATGTGGGCGTAGAAAAACTAGTTTACAAATTTGATTGATTTTTAAGTGATGTAAAACTATTTACCAAGAATCATAAGAATAATAAAAATGTTTTTAGTATTTGAGAAACATCTAGATTAATTTTTAGACAAATGCATAGCCTAGGATGGTGATATTTCTTTTCACCAAATGCTGCATGAAATGCAACTGAAAAACAAAACCACAGAACTCTGGTATTTCTTTAAACACAAAATAACCAAACTGGCATGACAACAGCCACGAGTTATAGCCATGAGTTTGACGGCGGGAACCAAAGCGCCAGCGGTAATCAATCCATGGCTGGGCCGTGAAGAATTAATTTATTGTAAACAAACTGTAATAAATCGTATGTATCTAAATTACAAAAAATTATTTGCCCTCAAAACAAGCCTTTATATTAAACACTTAAAAAATCTTTACTAGCTTAAAATGCAAGTAAATAAATTTTTTTATAAACAAATTAGTTTGTATTTATGTATTCTATTTGATGTAAATCTCAGAATATTTTGCCGGGCTGGAAATCACCCTCAAATCCAGCCCTTATATTAAACACTTAAAATAACTTTGCCTGTTTAAATTGGAATGATATGAAACTTTTTTTATATAAATTTAATAATATTTATGTGCTCAACATAATGTATATCTCAAAATATTTTGCCGGGCTGGAAATCACCCTCCAATACCGCCTTTATATTAGGTTGGGTACATAAATATTATCAAATTTATATAAAAAAGTTTCATTTTATTCCAATTTAAGCAGGCCAAGATTTTTTAAGTGTTTAATATAAGGGCTGGATTTGAGGGTGATTTCCTGCCCGGCAAAATATTCTGACATATACATCAAATAGAAGACATAAATACAAGCTAATTTGTTTATAAAAATATTAATTAACTTGCATTTTAAGCCAGTAAAGATTTTTTAAGGCTTGTTTTGAGGGTAACTAAATTTTGTAATTTAGATACATACGATTTATTACAGTTTGTTTACAATAAATTATATCTTCACGGTGCACAGCCATGGATTCACGGCCCAGCCATGGATTCACAGCCCAGCCATGGATTGATTACCGCTGGCGCTTTGTTTCGCGCCGTCAAACTCATGGCTGGAACTCGTGGCTGTTGTCACGCCGGTAAAAACTATTATAAACTTCTAAATCACCCAAACAACAGGAACATAACGAGCAGAAATTAAACATGAAAAAATCCAACTTTCTTTTTATCTTAGGCAAAAAGTCACTAACTAAAAAGAGACAAAACATGCTGCTGGAGAGTCAGCTGATTAGCGCCTAAATGTTTGATTGTTTTCAAGACAATAATGGCGTTTTGATGGAATAACGGCTGTATGTTTGCTATACAATATCAAATGCTGTATAGACGAAAATGCTGTACAATACAGCGAAATGCTATATGTATGGTCCTCCTAACATAGCTAAAAGGTAGAGTTTAATCGTTATTGTGCTAGAACCTGCTCTTCCACTCAATTTTTTTGTAAACTGAATAAAGTTTCATGTGTTGTAGACGACTTTTTAAACATAGATATTTATAATAGAATAATAGAAACTGTACTCTGTCATTTGGCTATACATTTTTGTTTAAAAATTAATCACAAATGTATATTTTGAGCTATTAAAAACAGTATAATTTTTATTAAATAGTCCTACATTACTTAGAAATCAATCAAATTTGTAAATTATTCAGTAGGTAGTAGGTACATAAAGAAAATTAAAAATAGTGATGTATGATGAAGAAAAAAGTACTTACCTACATTTTTGAAAATCTCGATAGGAATTTAAAATTGAAACAGAAATGGATGAAAAGGTTCTGAGAAATAAAAACAAACACGATTTTTTGTTACAAGGTATTATAACTGCATATATCTTGCACTGGTTACTAGCCTAGCATACAGTGTGGAACAGCTAATTGGAATAAATTCGGTAATATATAAATGGGGGCGTGTTCGAAAAAACGCTCGGTTACGTCGATTGGTATTTTTAGTTGCGCATTTTTTTTAACAAAAACTTTTTATACAGGATGTGTCATGTAAAATTTGCCAATACCAACTTTCTTATTTTAAATGCAATACCCTGTATATTTTTCAATTTTTGGATTCTTCAGAAAATTCTAGACATATTTTATGTACTATGTCCTATATCTAACTGTTTGGGAAATATTAAATGTTTTCCGATTTATTGCAAAAAATAACATTAATAAAATAGAATTATTTGATTAGAGAAATTCATTACAACACACTCAATACTTATTTCCCATTTAGGTCTTGATAATGTGAAAGTAAGCAAAAACCATTTTTTTTACTAATATGAAATAAAAAAAGCTATACTTAAATATAGTTTTGTTTAAAACACCTGACCTTAGCAAATTGTATGACAGTAGTTGTTAGTGTTATTTAGTCATTTGTCTGAGCGTTTTTCCTAACACGCCCCCATTTATTTATTAACGAATTTATTCCATTTGGCTGTTCCACAGTGTAAGTAACTAGTTAATTCATAATTCCTCTTACCAACTCAAAAAATCGAATTTTTAACATTTTTCACTAAAAATTTTACCAAATCCTTAGTTACAGTTTTTAATGACAATTTTTTATTTTCTTTCACATTTTAGACAGTGAGAAAGGAGAACACTTTGTCTGACAATGAATGTGTTAGGATAAGTCAAACCAAAAGCAAATAAAAGAAAACTATATGGTTAACAATATCAAAATAATATATATTTAATAACAAAAACATAAGTAAACAAACATTTTTGATTAATTCCAAAGTCATACAGATCTACTCAATCTAATGTATACAATTGCAGTTCTATATTAATCTATTATATTAAATGACCTTTTTAAAACCCTATTTCATACAGCATCTGTCAAAAAAAGAGCAAGTCCCATCTAGAGTTGACAGACAAGAGAGGGAAAAGTGTGGTGATGATGACAGGGATTGAAATGTTTTTTTTTGTTGTGAGTTGGGACTAATATAAAGTGATCATGCCATAGACCATACGTACAGCAGTTTGTCCAGCATTGGATCTTGCACAAAAACAGCAAAAAAGTCCTCATCTCTTTAAAAGTTCATCAATGTTAAATACCTATACAAAAAAAAGCAGGGCATTTGGGTACTTTGGCGTGACCCTTGGAAACAAGTGGAAAAGCGTGCTAATCATGCCTAAAGTGTGGCGTCTGGCAACCCCTAGTCCCATCCCAGAACCCACTGTGTTTCTCTCACCTAAAATTCCCAGTGTCAGTCTTTTCCCTTAATGTTATAACTTGTAGTACAGTTTTTCTTTCTAGATTTCTCTATGGTAACTTCTATTTGATTGATATGTTTACTTTTTATCACCATTTTGGAGCAAATTGAGAATGTAGAACAATATAGTGTTCTTTTATCAAAATAAACTAGAAACTCATATAATATAATTCTAGTTTTGGTACATACTTAATTAAAATAATCTGTTGTACTACCTATCAATTGGAACATGTATAAACTTATCTTCATAAAAACTAAGCTTATTTAACCTAAACAACTGTTCCTCCTTTAAATACCACTCATCAATATTGAATTCAGGAAACAATATACCAATTTCCCTTCTTGCAGAATCAACAGAATCAGATCCGTGTGTCGCATTCCTGGTGTCTGATAACCCATACTTTCCTCTAATACTATCGGGCGCTTCGAATTGGGCTTTAAAAACTTTCGTAGGCCCCATAAGGTCTCTCCAGTCTTTTACAGCGTTTTCTTTTGTTAAAATCATCATATCACTCGGTCCGCTGGTCATGAACGTTATGAGTCTGTTGTAAAAGAACTTTCTTTTGTGCTCATCGTAAAATTTTTCCGCCTCCGGTAGGGAAATTAATTTTCTTTTGAATTTTACTATTTTGAAGTTCGAAGCGATTATGAGTTCTCTTATTTTCTGTGTGGCAATTGGGTTTTTGACGACGTGGGGCTTAATGATTGCTAATGTAAGTTGAAAACATGAAGTTACTGGCATAATATGCTTATTTTCTGAACAATAACATTAGATTTTAGTCTAAATAATAAATGTGATTATTTACTCTTTTATTTATAATTTGAAATTACTTTTTCTAACCTCGTTTGTCTTCTTTTTATTTATTCAACTTTTATATTTTATAGGTAGCCTCTACTAAGTTGGCTATTTAGCAAAAACAAGAATAAAGTCTATAAAAAAGTGAGTGGATGCATGAATAAGTGCAACTAAAAACAAGAATATTGTTCAGATATTAATTTTTATTAATTTAGATTACTGGCTTAAATATAATTATGATAAAAATATATATTTTTTAATTCAAAATAGTTTGAATATTAATCAGTAGATGGCGCTATATCGAGAGCATTAAAATAATTAATTGATAAGTACTTCCACATAAAAAAATTGTCTGTTCCTTAAAAGTATTATAATCTATTGATAAATTTGAAATTAAATAAAATAGTAAAACCATTGTATGATATTAAATTTCTACAGTGACTAAATTTATAGTCACTGTAGATATTTCAACCAATTTGTGCCATCTATTAATAAACTTCTGTATTACCTTATATGCAAAAGAAATCGTAAAAGCCCAAACAAATTAGTTTGAATATAAAACCACAGATGGCACTACGTGCATCGAATTAATTTGTATTAGTGTTACACCAGTAGCGTCCCCTTTTACAGAATTAAAAAAAGGCGCTTCTACTTATAGCACCTTAGCAAATCCCTATCCTAAGCAAAGTGGTTTAAAAAAGTTATTTTATGTTCAAAAAATCACATTAGACGTGACAGCGATAATTTTGTTTGTCCTAAAAATTAAAATCCTAATTCATTGAGAACCTAGCTTTTAAACCTGAATTATTAATATTTTTACCTACCTTTTAAACGATGTGTATGTGTGAAAGGGAGAAGGATGTCATTGTGTAAACCGTTTGAAGAGATAGTCAATAATGATTATAAACTTTTGTTAGACAATTCTTTTAAATCACAATCATAGTAGTTTTTTTGTCGTTTCTATGACAACCTGTAAAAATGAATCACAACAATATGTATATAGTAGTAGTTTGTGCAACAAGAGTGGATATGATGGCCATATCGCACGAAGACGAAACTTGAGCATGACGCCGTAGGCGAAGTGTTCAATCGTCCGAGTGCGATGTGGACAATCCACTCGAGTTGTACAGTATATTTTTTCTACGAGCCACTAACGAAAATTTACAAATAAAAAAATATTTTAGGTTATTAAGATAAAATAACTAATTTTAAAACAATTAATGACTTTTAATAATTTTTAAAATAAAATAAACAAAAAAAAAGTTAATTTAATTTTTCCCTATCCGAGAATCGAACTCCAATCCTCTTCGTGGAAGGCCAGAACGCTAACCACAAGACCACCTATTTTTTGTGTTTGTTGTTTTAATACTCGTAATTAAATTGACTTCATATTTAAATTAACACATTATTTATAATTATCACATACTTTGATTACTATACGGTGCAAGAGAGAAGTCCGGCACGCCCAACATAGGGCGCGGCCATTTTGATTCCTATGCCACAGTTTATAGCTAAAGAATCAGATCGCTCACTCTGCGTCGACACTTTTGATCTCAATGTTCCAGTTTATACACTGCGCAACTCGGATAATACAATATATGATAACCACCTATAATAAAACAGCAGTCTTCTGCGTATCCTGAATTTGTATCCCTGGAGTGGATGTTATTTTGGAACTTTCAACTGGTCCGAGTGAGCTAACTGATTCTTTAGCAATAAACTGTGATTCCAAAAATAATATTCACTGACACTACAGCAGCAAGCAAAATATCAGGTGCGTTTTAATCATCCGCTTCTGCTTCCGGAATTGTCGGTTTCTTAGATAAAAGAAACAAGTCGGTTTAGTCGTTTTTACCTGTCAGATTAAAACAAGAAAACCGACAATTCCGAAGCAGAAGCGGATGATTAAAACGTACCTATTAAAAATATTGCGCCAAGATGTAGGCAACACTCGTAATAATAGTAAAAGAAAATCAAAGTATGTGCACCGTATAGTATGTGCTAAAATGTAAGTGATCTGCGCATGCTCAGATTTCAAAATAAGAGCGGCACTAATAGTGACTGACCGTAAATGAACTTATGTGGGTGTAGAAAAATACATTTTCAAATAGGAAAAAATTGATTCATATTTTTGATGATTTTTACCTATTATTCGTGGATAGATATTTTTGTGTGATTTTAAGAGGAAGAAAATATGTCCCTTTAACGATGTACTCAAGATAAATTTGAATATGCTATTTTCTGGAAAACTTTTAGGACAAACAAAATTAGCTCTGTCATGTCTTATGTGATTTTTTGAATATAAAATAATTTTGCTCAGGATAGGGATTGGTACAGGTGCTATTTGGTAAAGGCCAAGGTTTTTACATGCTTTCGGGGGTATATTTCATTTCGCTTTTTATAGAAAATAAATATATTTTTATGCATAGGAACTGAGTTAGTTTCAAAAAGTGAAAGTTGAAATCGCTGTGACTTCAAATTTATAGGGAGAAAAAGGTCTCCACGCTCACCAAATTCGGATGCGACATGCATTTTGCTCAATTAAGATTAAGAACATAGGGTTTCCGGGGACTACTGAAGAGCTGATTATATTTTGGGCATAGTCGGACCAACTAAGAAGGTACTACTCTCTAGGAAGTTGTTTTCCTACTTTTTGGTTACATTTCTGTTATTTATGATTGAAAAAGAATTTTTTTTTTAGATAAAAGTTTTTCTGGGTGTCATTATCAATAATTTTCGTTATATACATGATGTCCCTAAAATGACCCGCACTGGCTTGTTGAAGACATTTTAAGAAAAGTACAAAATTAATTATTTTGTGAGCACGATATAGTCCAAATTATTTGGCCGATTTTGATATGATTAAAAACATAGGCATTCAAGGGCTCCTGAAGAGCTGATTGGATTTTGAGCATAGTCGGATAACTAAGGAAGTAATTTCTAAGGGGGTGTTTTTTACTTTTTGGTATATTTCTGTTATTTATGAATGCAGAAGAAAATTCATTATCTATAATTTTTGTTACATACATGACGTCCCTGAAATCGACTGTACTGGAGATATTTGTTTTTTTTTTAATATTGTTTGTAAGTCGTAATAAAGTAGTTTAAAGGTAAATAACCTAATTATTTTTTACGTTTAAAGTTTAAACGATTACAATCTTGAAAATAATACAAATAAAATTTTACTGAATACCTGTAACCTCAATTTTTATAAATCTACTGTCACCATTATTAATAATAATAATAATAATAATAAATGGCCTTTATTTGTACATACCAAAAATACAAAAAATATGTAGAAATGTACATCTGCCTGGGCGAGATTTAGCCTAAGGGTATTCTTACATCTAACCCTATAAATTCTATACGTAGTTTAAATAATAAATACATTTTTTACAATAAGCAAAATCTAGTAAAACATTTGAAAAGAAAAAACAATTACCTAAGTGTGTTTATTCAAAAAGAACAAACGAGATGAAAAAAAATTAAATTAAACAATTGCACTTAAATACTTTGGGAGACCAAGAGCTGTCGTTTTTATGTATTTTTAAAAACATTTAGAGATTTTGAATTTTTTATAGATGTGTTTAGGCTGTTGTACAAAACAACGGCATTGTATGAAAAGATGCGATTAAAAATTGCAGTAGAATGACGAGGCATGGTTAATGTTAAATTATTTCTAATATTAACATTGTGCATCAATGTTCTGAATATTAGTTTGTCTCTTTATTGTCACTTAAACAGAAATTACGGCATACCTAATATACCATATTAAATTATTTAAAAACGAATTATTTTGAGAACAATATGTAGGTAAAAAGGAATTAAAATTCAATCAAATAAAATTGGTGTATAGGATGTCATTGAAATAGCTTTAATAATATTAATAGATATAAATAGTACTAATTTATTTTTCGGTTATTTTTTGAACAGTAGACATCAAATCCTCGCTCAAAATTTTTCCTCCTCGTGCTGAGAAAACGGCTTCTTCGTCATTTTTGTTGATAACTTTTAAAACAGTGTTGGTGAGTTCAGGACTACGTGCAATAGGTTGAGTTTCGTTTGGATCGACTTGGACTATAAGAGGTTGGCTCAACTCTTTGTCACCTTCGGGTACTATCTAGAAGAAATTAAGGTACTTTTTACAAAATTGAAGTACTTATAGAATGATAAAAAAATGGTTAAATGTTATTCATTTCAAGAAAAAATCAAAACTCGTCAACTGCGCGTCAACAGAGGTTAGGGTTCAACTTATTCATTATATTTCTGTTATTTTCAAGATTGTATTCATCTAAAAGTATAGCAGTCCAATAATTTCAAAAAATAATCTACTTACAAACCTTTATATTATTTTTTACGACTCGCTTACCATATACAGTGTGTGCCATAAAGATGGATTTATAAGGAAGTTTTTTTTTAATATTACAGGCAATCACCTCTACTTATTTTAAAACTTAAAATAACCCATATCAAAGTTGGCTACTGACATTACTTCTCTGTCGAATTCGAAATTCGCATTTAAAAAAAGACAATTTTTCAACAATTTTTCAAAAATATTGCAAATTAGACAAATAACTAATGTCAGTAGCCAACTTTGATATCGGCTATCTTAAGTTTTAAAATAAGCAGAGGTGAAAATCCTCTACGACGTTTTTTCCAATTGTATTATTAAAAAAAAATTCTTAATTGGATCCAAGTTCATGGCACACACTGTGTATTAATAAAATTAAAAACGTCAAATTTCAAATTTAATGACAGAATGGTTTGTTCTTATTTGACTCTCTGAGTCACGATGAATGACTGACCTCCACATACTTTGATTTTCTTTTACTATACGGAGAATGGTCACACTGCGCAGCTTTCTGAGGCCTTTTAAAAGGAGATAGAAAACTCCGCCATTTTGATCCCTTATTACGTGTTGCCTACATCTTGGCGCAATATTTTTAATAGGTGCGTTTTAATCATCCGCTTCTGCTTCGGAATTGTCGGTTTTCTTGTTTTAATCTGACAGGTTAAAACGACTAAACCGACAAATCCGGAAGCATTCCGGATGATTAAAACGCACCTGATATTTTGCTTGCTGCTGTCAGTGTCAGTGAATATTATTTTTGGAGTCACAGTTTATTGCTAAAAAATCAGTTAGCTCACTCGGACCAGTTGAAAGTTCCAAAATAACATCCACTCCAGGGATACAAATTCAGGATACGCAGAAGACTGCTGTTTTATTATAGGCGGTTGTTATATATTGTATTATCCGAGTTGCGCAGTGTATAAACTGGAACATTGAGTTCAAAAGTGCCGACGCAGAGTGAGCGATCTGATTCTTTAGCTATAAACTGTGGCATAGGAATCAAAATGGCCGCGCCCTATGTTGGGCGTGTCAGACCTCTCTCTTGCACCGTATAGTAAAGAAAATCAAAGTATGTGCTTAACTCACGTTAATGCGACGTGTATTGGATAAAATTATCCAAGTTTGATTTTCCCGCGCTCTAAATACATCCATTATACAGGGTTATCTTGACAAAACTCCGTACATATATTTTCAGAATTGAAGCTTGAAAATATATATTGAAAAATATATAACGAGTTAAAATTACTTTCAATTTAATTATTATGCGTCGAACTAAGAAATCAATGTTTTTTAAAATTGAATATAACCGGATAAAAAATGTAAAGGTATTTCGAGGTCCCCATAAGGGCGGGAGCCCTGGGCTCGTTCCCTAACGCTAAAGATAGAATTGGGTACAAAGTAATGTTATTCATAATTTCTTCAGATTTTTGTCTTGAATGCTTTACATTTTTAGGAAGGTTGTTGGAATTTTTAAGACTAATAATGGAAAAACTTACTTCAACTTCAATGGGCACGGTACCATCGTTACTGACAAGAAACATGTGCTCTTTCAAACCGTCATGATCCTGATCCAGTTGGCTCATAGCCAGTACGTAAGAATGGGGTGCTAATTTGAAGTGGTCGATACTTTCCAAAGTTGGATTAACTGAAAGAAATAAAAATAATGTAATGAATGACATATTTTTCATTGTATTATTATACTCTTCACACATTAGTCTGTAAAGAGTATTATAGGTTTATTTCTGTCCGTCCGATGTCACGTTTTTTGTCCGCACGATAAGTCAAAAACGAAAAATGATTTCATCTTGAGAATTTCAAGAAAAATCAAGCTCTATAAGGGGACGAAGCCTAATTGATTTTGAAAAAATCTGATTAAAAATGGTGGGGTTAAGGAGGCTTGAAATATTTCAAAAACGAGAAGCGATATCAACATGAAATTTTTAGTAAAAATCAAGCGCTATAAAGAGACGAAGTCTATTGATTCTGAAAAAAAAAAAAAAAAAAATTGAACAAAAATGAGGGGGTTAAGAAGGGTTGAAATATTTAAAAAATCCTACGAACAATAATATCAACTTGAAATTTTTGGCTATAAGGGGACAAAGTATATTATAGGGTGCTTCATAATAAAAAACCGTTAACAGGAGGACTTGTAGATTAGGGTGGAGTGATACCATATAGACAAAAAATTAAAGTGTACATTTTTAGGTGGCCTGGGTGTGGAAAGGTTGCCTTTTAGTCTACCGAAAACACCTGTAAAAAAAAATTGAAAAATTGTAACGACTTCAGGTTCCTTTTTGATAAAAGAAAATAAAAAAGACATAAGATAATACGTAATAGGCAAAAATTTGAAACTTGAATTTTTAATTGGCCTGAATGTGGAAAAGTTGCCTTAAAAGTTGCCTTTTAGTCCACCAAACATATCTGTAAAAAAATTTTGAAAAATTAAAATAAAAATAGGGTTTTTTCTCGTAATAGTAAAATTTCAAAATTAAAAAGGAACCTGAAGATAATATTTTTTTAAACATTTTTTTTTTTGTGGATAAAAATGGTCTATAGAGGCAACTATTCCGCACCCAGGGATTGGCAAATTAGAAAATAAGTTTTTTCGCTTCACCCTATTGTAGTCTATTTCATAAATACATATTTTTCTAAATTTCTTCCCTTACGGTAAAGACATTAACTTAAAAATATTTATGTGTTAAATCGTCATTATTAGTTAACACACTTTTTTCGATAAACTACGGTCCGCTGGTAATGAATACATAGTCCTAGATTCAAGGGTTATGAACACAATTTACATCCAAACTTTTTAAACACCCAATATTTCATGAAAGTTACATTCATAATTATTCCTCCCGCAATTTGTCACAAAAAAAAGGACTCTTGGTTTATCTTTGTAGAACATCCCATTTCAGCGATTTTTCAGTTTTAGTCGTACTTAAACATGAATCTATGTACAATTTTATCGAGGGCCGATTTCATAATGAAAATTAAAAGGTCCATTATCCAATGGGACCAAGATTTTATGACTTAATGGTCCCATTAGTTAAAGGATCTTTTAATATTAATTACAAAATCGTTTATCAATAAAAATTTGCTTTTTTTACTTTCCTATCTGTATATAGATAAAGAAAGTATAGGAATTATGATTTTTTCGACCTCCAGTTTTCGACGGATTTTTCCGTTTTGGGATCCCCTGACTCCGTTTTGACTATTTTCGGGATGATGTCTGTGTGTGTGTCTGTTATCCACCATAACTCATGAACCGATACAAAGAAAAACATCAAATTTTAAACTTAAGCTTTATTTCGGCGTGCAATGAATAGATTAGATTTTGGGCAGAGTCGGAACATCGTGGAGGGGATCTTTATAGGTAGTTATTTTTATATTTTATAAAATATATCTGTTATTTACGTTTGGAGAAGAACATTTTTAAAATAAAAGTTACTTACAATATTATTATCAATATTTTTTATTCTATACATAATTTTCCTAAAATGGTCCGTATTCGAGAAATTTTACAAAATGTAAAAAAATAATTTTTTATAAAAATTGTTTGAATAAAAGTTATTTGTAATATAATTCTCTATAATTTTTATTCTATACATAATTTCTCTAAAATGGACCGTATTCGAGATATTTGAGAAAATGTGTAAATTTCGAATTTTGAAGAAAACTCAAAAACGGATAAAGGAAAAAACAGTAAATTTTAAACTTAAGTTTTATTTCGGCCTGACGTGAAATGATTAGATTTTGGACAAAGTCGGAACATCTGGGGGTATTTTATAGGAGATCGTTTTTATATTTTATGGAATATATCTGTTATGTTCAAATAAAAGTTACTTCTAATATTATTATGTATAATTTTTGCCTTATGTCAAATTTTCCTGAAATGGTCCGTATTCGAGAAATCTGACAAAATGTGCAATATTCTGATTTTCAAGAAAATTGTTGAACTAAAAGTTGTTTGCGATATCGATCTCTATAATTTTTGTTTTTACATGATTTTTCTAAAATGGACCGTAATGGAAAAATTGGAGGAAAAGTGCTTAATTTAAATTTTTCAGTATTTTCGTTTTCAATGAATATCTATAGAAAAATGTTTCGAGTTAGATGTATGTGGAAAATGTATATATTTAGTTTATCTTCTAAGCATTTATAGAGGTGCTACAATAGGTTGTACAAAATAACCGGAAAAAGCCTATAATAACTAGATAGGAAAGTCATGTGTTGGACATATCAGATTTTTTAATTTCATAATATACATAAATTTCATATTTGAGTAGGACTAAAACTGAAAATCTCGAAAATGGTATGTTCTATAGAGATGAACTAAAAGTCCTTTTTTGTAACAAATTCCGCAAGGAATAATTATTAATTTCAAATTTTATGAAATATAGGGTGTTCCAATTGTTTTGATTAAAATTGTTTCTTTAGCGGTTGATTCTACACCAATGGGTTATCGTAATTTATCGAAATAGAGTGTGTAGTGTGTTAACTAATAATGATAATTAACTAACATAGATATTTTTAAGTTAATGTCTTTACTGTAAGAAAAGATATTTAGAAAATGATGTATTTATTAAATTCACTGTATCGCCCTGTAGAATAAAAACAGGGTCTTTTACAGAAAACATATATTTAACTTTTCTTTACAATTAGTTAAGATCTACAAATCCCCTAGTTTAAGGTACTTTATTATGAAACACCCTGTATATCTTCATTCTAGTTATTTTTCTTTAATCCATTGTCATCGACATCAACTACTTCAGTTAGTAGCCTCGTATTCTGTGTAGGATTTGTTGCTGTTTCCTATCGCCACTGTAGGAATAACACTGTTAATTAGAACCCAATAGTGAATGGTCGAGTTAGGAATCCTACCCATGCATTAGAATTACAATTTAAATTTTAAATTAAATAAAAATCCTTGCCACCGGTAGGATTCGAACCTAAGGCCTTTGATGTCAAAGTCATTACTCTAACCACTAAGCCTTCTAGAAGTTGTGATTTTTCTGTTAAAAATTAGTTTGTCAACTATAGAATTTAAAAATAGTTTCTGTGATAATATTCCAAAAATATTTGTTTATTTTTGGTCGGTAACTAAGTTTCAAATATCTCAATTTTGCATTATTTCAGTACTTTGATAAAATTTAAAATGTTCAAAGAAAATATCTTATAAAAAATATGAGTAGCACATTTTTTACAGTACTATAATCTGCAATTTGAAGTATTTTATAGTAAACGCAGAAAATATGAAGGTTCCAATTCAATCCGTTCTTTCCTTCTTTAATAAGTAGTCAGAATAATATACCTGTGTCTAGGTAATTAAATATGATACACTCATTAGGAATGGATGATTTAGAATTTTTCATATCTACAGAGTGGCCCATTAGTGCGATAAATGATAAATACAATATCTCTCTTGTTATAAGAAATAAGAGAAAATGTTTTAAATAAAAGTTATAAGATTTTACACAATTATAAAATACTGTGAAATATACAGGAGTGTTCCGTTACATAAGGACAGCTTAAATGTCGATGTTTTTAAATGACTTATCCTGGATATTTTTCACAATTGATTTCAGTATAAAATATTACGTTCCAATATTAAGTTTTTTTTTTAAATACCGCGACGATATCTTTGTGGCAAAAAATGTGAGAAAATACTGAAAAACTGGCTGTTAAGTTAAAATATTTTGTAAACACAAATATAAGGACTAGATGAAACGTCTGAGATTATCAAAAGTTTATTTTTATGTACAGGAGATTGTATCCAGGGGCACCAACTTGCTAATGTTTAAACATCTATTTTTTTTAAGTTGAACACCCAGTATATTATTTCATTATTTGTTATTATAATATAGGCACTAAGAAAACTAGTTTTTGATAAAACTTATTTTAATTGACAATTTAAAATAATAGAGATAAAAACATTGGGCGTCTATTCTGAAATATAAAGATTTTTCTCAACTTCACAAGAATAATTTAAATTAGTTGAAAACAATTATGTGTTTAATAAAAAAACTTACCAGCAGGCTTAGACATCGTATTTTCTAGAATTTTTATTTGTTTAAAGGATAAAAATGATTATTTAGCTTAATTTTGAGCTATTTATACCTAGCGATAAATTGCTTTAAGAAAGGAAATGATTAAAAATATTTTTAATTATAGAATAATTATCGATTATCGATAAAAAATTTGGGATTAATTATTATTTACCGAATATAACTTTTTTCTTGATTAGAAGGTAATTTTAGTGTGTCGTCCCAATATTTGGCAAAAAAGAAACACTTATGGAATCACCTCGGGGTCTGTCCGACTGTATGACATATTACAAAAATAGACTATTTGACGTGCATAATTAAAATACTGTCATGTACGCCATTTTTGACCAGGCCGGTCCTATTCTAATCGCTTGAGGTCCTTTCTGAGCATTCAATAAACTAAGTCAATCTCCTTGAAACCCCAGTGATACGCCTATGATCATCGCCAGTCGAAGTTACCATTCCAGTTCTTCTGTATTCTAGAATTTGCTGGAAGCGTCGAAATATGTTCTGGTGGAGGTACCATGGGCAGCGATTGTTGGTCAGAAGATGTCTAGAAGGTTCGATAAAGATCCACAAACTTTGAAAGGTGGCAGGGGAC